ACAGTGTCACTCCACACCACCACCACCACCAAGAACAACAACAACAAAACCATTCTAGTACTATGCTTCTTGTAAGTGGGAAAAATTAAAATGTCCCCAAAGGCAGTCTGAGTGAACTGTAATTTGATGTATATATTTTGCATACTTCCTGTGTAATTTTTTTTCTTCCTGGAAACCTTTTATTTAAGGAATATAAATTTGATATTTCTTCAGTACAACTTCAGAAACATAGTGATTCTTTTCACCATACCCATACTCTCAGCCCGCTTTCTCCTCCCTCTCCTATTCCCATTCTTACTTTTTATGAAGATCTGCTCCTCAACAACTGAGACACAGGCTGTTCAAAGTCATTGCAACTGAAAGTGTTACTTTCTGTTCTATAGATTACCTTTTGGGTGCTCTATTAGTTATCACCGATCAGGGAGAACATACAGTATTTGTCCTTTTGAGACTGCCTTATTTACTAATTTTTATCCATTTTGTTGGAAACAACAGGATTTCTTTCTTTCTTTCTTTTTTTTTTTTTTTTTTAACCACTTGGTGGTATTCCATGGTGTACTTATCCCATAATTTCTTTTTTTTTTAATTTATTTGTTTGAAAGGCAGACTTATGCAGAGGGGAAGGGGGAGGGAGGGTGAGAGAGAGTCTTCCATCTGCTGGTTCACTCCCCAGATGGCTGCAGTGGGTGGAGCTGCTGCACTAATCTGAAGCCAGGAGCCTCTTGGTCTCCCATGAGGGTGTGGGGTCCCAAGGACTTGGGCCGTTTTCTGCTTTCCCAGGCCTTAGCAGAGAGCTGGATTGGAAGTGGAGCAGCTGGGACTTAAACCAGCACCAATATGGGATACTGGTACTTCAGGCAGTGGCGTTAACCACTGTGCCACAGCACCAGCCCTTCTCATAATTTGTTTTTCTAGTCTTCAGTTGAGGGCATTTGGGTTGATTCCATTTCTTAGCTATTGTGAATTTAGCTGCAGTAAACATGGGGGTACAGATAACTTTTTCATATGCTGATTTCATTTGCCTTGGGTAAATTCCCAGGAGTGGGGTGGCTGTGGCAAATTTGTAGGTCTATATTGTAGGTTTCTGAGGGGTTTCCAAACTGACTTCCATAGTAGCTGTACCAGTTTACATTCCTACCGACTGTAGGTTAGGCTACCTTTTTCCCCACATCCTTGCCAGCATTTGTTATTTGTTGATTGCTGTATGAAAGCCATTCTAAGGGGTTGAGGTGGAAACTCTTCATGGTTTTGATTTGCATTTCCTTGACGGCTAGTGATCCTGAGCATTTTTTCATGTGTCTGTTGGCTATTTGGATTTGCTTTCTTGAAAAATGGCTGTTTAAATCCCTGACCCATTTCTTCACTGGGTTGGGTGTTTTGTTGTTGTGGAGTTTCTTGATCTCTTTATATATATTCTGGTCACTAATCCTTTAACAGTTGCATAGTTTGCAAATAATTTCTCCCGTTCTGTCAGTTCCCTAGTTTGAGTTTTAAAAAAAGAACAGTGTGATCTCTGGTTTAAAAAACAACCAGCGTGGCTGAAAAGCCCATGAGAACATTTCAGGCATGGGGAGCGCAGACAGTATAGCAAAAAGTGTCCTACACGAAGGACCTGGTTAGTGAGACCCCGGAGGAAAGGAATGGTCATCAAAGGAGGAGGTACTTTGCTCTGAGGGGACGAGAGAGCTTCTACTTTGCTTATGGCCTTGTTTAAATAATGTGGATTCAAAAGGCTTCCATAGCCTAGGCAGCTCACGTCAAGAGCCTCAGGTGATCACTGACACCATACATAAGAGTTTTTATTGCTAAATTAACAACAGGAGTCACTGTGCACTAACTCTCCATGCAGGACCTCTGTGCTCAAAGAGTTATATTGTAATTATGCCTAAATGCTTGCAAAAGATGTATCATTCTTGGGTGATTATAAGGAGGGTTTTAGGTTATTATGATTATAATTATCTTAGGTATTCTTTTTGCTACCCTTGCTGATGCATGGTTATCTTTTTTTTTTTTTTTTTTTTTTTTTGACAGGCAGAGTGGACAGTGAGAGAGAGAGAAAGGTCTTCCTTTGTCATTGGTTCACCCTCCAATGACTGCCACGGCTGGTGCGCTGAGGCTGGTGCACCGCGCTGATCCGATGGCAGGAGCCAGGTGCTTCTCCTGGTCTCCCAATGGGTGCAGGGCCCAAGCACTTGGGCCATCCTCCACTGCACTCCCGGGCCACAGCAGAGAGCTGGCCTGGAAGAGGGGCAACCGGGACAGAATCTGGTGCCCCGATGGGGACTAGAACCCGGTGTGCCGGCGCCGCAAGGCGGAGGATTAGCCTAGTGAGCCGCGGCGCCAGCTGCATGGTTATCTTTAAGAGTTATTAATACTCTTTGCAAATTAAGTTGTTTTATTTTAGCCAATTGTATGTTGATTTACCCAACCACCAATCATTATGCTGTTTATGAAAGCTATCTTGTACAGTGCCCTGTAATAAAAACATTTTGTAGCCAGCACCGTGACTCAATAGGCTAATCCTCTGCCTGCAGTGCCGGCACACTGGATTCTGTCCCGGTTGCCCCTCTTCCAGGCCAGCTCTCTGCTGTGGCCCGGGAATGCAGTGGAGGATGGCCCAAGTGCTTGGGCCCTGCACCCATTGGGAGACCAGGAGAAGCACCTGGCGCCTGGCTTCGGATCGGCATGGTGCGCTGGCTGCAGTGGCCACTGGAGGGTGAACCAATGGCAAAAGGAAGACCTTTCTGTCTCTCTCACTGTCCACTCTGCCTGTCAAAAAATAATAAAAACAAAAACAAAAAACCCACCATTTTGTAAAGAATTAACAGCATTTATTGATTAAATCGCAAGTCCATGACTCTATACTGTCTGCATCTTTGCCTTCTGAAAGTTGCTTGTCTATGTCTTCAAGATCAGTGCTGTAGGGATTGAATGAGGTTGTGTACATGTTGATTTTTCTTTCTGCAGACTAGTCCCTTGAAGTCAGTGTGAACGGCCGACTGGTTGGTCTGAAACTTAAATGGTTCATTACATTGTTTTTGAACCATCTACTCATTTATTTATTTATTTATTTATTTATTTTTTGACAGGCAGAGTGGACAGTGAGAGAGAGACAGAGAGAAAGGTCTTCCTTTGCCATTGGTTCACCCTCCAATGGCCGCCGCGGCCGGCGCGCTGCGGCCGGCGCACCACACCGATCCGATGGCAGGAGCCAGGAGCCAGGTGCTTTTCCTGGTCTCCCATGGGGTGCAGGGCCCAAGCACCTGGGCCATCCTCCACTGCACTCCCGGGCCACAGCAGAGGGCTGGCCTGGAAGAGGGGCAACCGGGACAGAATCCGGCGCCCTGACCGGGACTAGAACCCGGTGTGCCGGCGCCGCAAGGCAGAGGATTAGCCTAGTGAGCCGTGGCGCCGGCCTTTTTTTTTTTTTTTAAAGCAGTGATGAGGGTCCTCGCAGGGAGGGCAAAGGGAGAGGAGCATCTCAAAGGGAGGAAGTCACAGTGCTTTGCAGACACTGCTTTCCCCACACTCGAGTACGAGTGTGCGTGCATCGCAAAGTGTTTTACACCCAGATAAGCTTAGCTTTTAATCCCATTTTCTTTATTTTTTTAAGATTTATTTTCCGAAAGTCAGAGTTACACAGAGGGGAGGCAGAGCGAGAGAGAGGTCTTCCATCTGTTGGTTCACTCCCCAATTGGCTGCAACAGCTGGAGCTGCATTGATCTGAAGCCAGAAGCCTGGAGCTTCTTCCCAGTCTCCCACGCGGGTGCAGGGGCCCAAGGACTTGGGCCATCTTCCATTGCTTTCTCAGGCCATAGCAGAGAGGTAGATGGGAAGTGGAGCAGCCAGGTCTCAAACCAGTGCTGTTATGGGATGCCAGTGCTTCAGGCCAGGACATGAACCCACTGTGCCACAGTGCCCGGCCCCAATCCCGTTTTTTTTTTTTTCCTAATTTTATTTATCTGAAAGGCATAGTTACAGACAGTTGGAGATAACACACAGAGCAGAAAGAGACACAGAGAGAAGGAGACAGAGGGAGAGAGAGATATGTTCTGTTTGCTGGTTTACTCCCCAAATGGCAGCAGTAGCCCGGGCTGGGCCAGGCCAAATTCAGGAGCCTGGAACTCCATCCAGGTCTCCCCCATGGTTGGCAGGGGCCCAAGCCCTTGGGGCATCTTCTGCTGCTTTCCCAGGCAGACTAGCAGGGAGCCAAGTTGGAAGCTGAGTAGTTGGGAATAGACCTGGCACTGCAGTATGGTGTGCAGGCTGTGTCACGTGGCCTGCCCCTCCCAGAGAGGTTGGAACGCAGTGAGCATTGGCTCGGCTCAGTCTGCAGCTGGCACGGTTGGAGGGCGCCAGCTTCCCTCTCAGAACCCTGCAGATGGGCCTCAGCTCATCTCTTCCCCAAGTCCTCGCTGAATGCTGAAGATCATTAAAAGATACGCAGCAGAAAATCCACTGGTGCTTTGATGGAAACAAGCAGGTAAAACATCTCTCTTTTTCCAAAAATATTTGAAGGCTGATGGATTCACACGTAACAAATACTGTAAAAAGTTAAGTGAAAATCCCCCAAACTGTGAAAGGCTAGTGCGAGACGGCAGCTGGGGACTGCTAGGCCTGGGGTAGCACCCACGGAGGAGTTTCCCAGCCGACAGAGGGACCCAAGCGAGGGCAGGCAGTTACACCTGCTGCCCGCGCAGGGCTGGCTCGTTCTGTGCTCTCAGGCTGCCGCCGCGTGGTCTCGGGTTGGCCGGCTGGGACTCGGCGTGAGAGCAGGCTGCCGGCTGCTCGGGCACTTTGCTGTCGGCCAGCTCCCGCCTGTGTGAGGACACGTTTGTGCTGGGTTCCTGAGCCTTGGCCCGTCGCCACCTTGGCTTTGATGCCTGTGAGTGAGGCTTGGCTGCTGGTGTGGACACGGAAGGGTCAGCTGTTGGTGCTCTGTGTAGCGGAGAGCAGCCCCCGTTGGCAGCCTGCCGCACGAGTGGTTTTCTCACACGTAGCCGCCATCTACCTGAAGAACATGGTGACGCAGTACTGGCCGGACCGGGAGCCCCATCCGGGAGAGGCAGTGTTTCCGTTCAACATCCACGAGAACGACCGCCAGCAGATCCGCGACCACATCGTGGAAGGCATCATCCGCTCCCCGGACTTGGTGAGGTGCGCTGTGCCCAGCTGGAGTGGGGGTGGGGGGCATCACCCGCTCCTCGGGCTTGGTGAGGTGCACTGTGCTCGGCGGGGGTGGGGGCATCACCCGCTCCCCGGACTCGGTGAGGTGCGCTGTGCCCGGCGGGCGTGGGGGCATCACGCGCTCCCCGGACTTGGTGAGGTGCTGTGCCCGGCTGGGCCCCGGCTGGGGCGGGGGTGGGGGCATCACCCGCTCCCCGGACTCGGTGAGGTGCGCTGTGCCTGGTGGGGGTGGGGGCATCACCCGCTCCCCGGACTCGGTGAGGTGCGCTGTGCCTGGTGGGGGCATCACCTGCTCCCCGGACTCGGTGAGGTGCGCTGTGCCCGGCGGGGGTGGGGGCATCATCCGCTCCCCGGACTTGGTGAGGTGGCTGTGCCCGGCAGGGTTGGGGGGCATCACCCGCTCCCCGGGCTTGGTGAGGTGGCTGTGCCCGGCGGGGGTGGGGGGGCATCACCTGCTCCCCGGACTTGGTGAGGTGGCTGTGCCCGGTGGGCCCCAGCTGTGCCATCCCTGGGAGGCGGCAGCCCAGTGCACCGGGCGAGGGTGGGGCGGTTCAGCCCCAGCTGCTGGGGTCTGTATGATGATGTAGCGTGATGGAGATGGACACGCAGAAGGTAGTTTCCCTTATTTGTCTTTGCATCTGTAATTCTATCCAACATAAGTTGATTCAAGAAGAAATGAGGTAAAAAATAGGCTTAAACAGAAACTGTTCTTTATTTTGCAAATAACCTGTGTTCTTTGTCACAGTTTGTTGACATTTTCAGCATCTGCTTTTCTTTGCTTTTTTTAAAAAAATACTTGACAGGGTTACACAGGGAGAGAGAAAGAGAGAGGTCTTCCATCTGCTAGTTCACTCCCCAAATGTGCAACAGCCAGGGCTGGGCCAGGCTGCCAGGCTGAGCAGACCTTCTTCTGGGTCTCCTATGTTGGTGTAGGGATCCGAGGGCTGGGTTCACCCTCTGCTTCTTTCCCAAGAGCGTTGCCAGGGAGATGGATCGGAATTGGAGCGTCCGGGACTCTAGCCTGCAGCCAAATGGGATGGCAGCAGCTGCACCGTGACATCACAGCACAGGCCCCTACACTTTTTTTTTTTTTTTACTAAAAAAATTAAATTATTTGGAAGAAAGACACAGAGAAAGAGAACTACCTGCTGTTTGACTCCCCAAAGGGACACAACAGCATGAGCTGGAACAGGCTAAAACCAGGATCCAGGCTAAAACCACATCCTGGTCTCCCATGTGAGTGGCAGGGCCCTAAGCACCTGGGGCGTCCTCAGCTGCCTTCCCCGGCACATTGGCAGGAAGCTGGATTGAAAGTGGAGCAGCCAGGACTTGAACCGGTGCTGTAGTATGGGATGCCTGCATTGCAAGCAGAGGCTTATCCTGCTGAGATGCAGTGCCTGCCCTTCATGATATTTCTTCCTGGGGCCGCTGTTGGTCTCCTGTCCCGCTTGGATGCGTTGGTGCGCCACATAATGAGTCTCGTCAGCGTGACCCACAGGTATGATGATGGTCTCGCAAGAGGACGCGCCTCGTGACGCAGTGGCCATCTTAGTGTGTGTGTGCGCCCCCTGGCGCTACCCAGTGATGGGATAGCCCTTGTGTTCCCAATGTGATGCTACGATGTGGGTGAACAGGACTCGGAGGACTTGGAGTAAAATACTGGGGTTCTGTGAAACCTGGAGTTAGCATTTACTCAGGTTTTCTACTTGGCTCTCTCACTTCCAGAGTCCAGCTGACGATGTGCCTGCGCGTCATCATCAAACACGATTTTCCGGGCCAGTGGCCGGCGGTGGTGGACAAGATCAGCTGCTACCTGCAGTCGCAGGACACGAGCGGCTGGCTGGGCAGTCTGCTGTGTCTGTATCAGCTGGTGAAGACGTACGAGTAAGCTGGCCGGGCCGGCTTGCCGAGATGGTGCCCGGCGAGTGGAGGGGATCTGCCCTGGGTTTTCTGCACGAGGAGTTAGTCTGGGAAGTGCTGGGTTCAGCACGGGTGAACATGGTTGTTGGCTGTAGCTATAGAAACCTTGATCTACAGTAGACATCGCTCGTCTCTAAGGGGGTGATACCATGCGCGGTGTTTCTCGAGCTTCCCTGCTGGGTTATTTACTGCATTCTTGGGAATGCTGACCCAGGGGCACCTTAACGTCTGTCCCCTGGTGGGCATATTGGTAAATAAACCAAGCACTGCCCTTTGCGGGTGCGAGGTAGACATTCTGCTGGGTGCTGTTCTGTTGTGTGTGAGTTACCTGGGAGGTGGGGGAGTAGATGCAGCTGATGAATTGGACTAGAACTGCATTGGAGAGCAGTGCTTCTGGTTTCTGAGAAGGTTGCTGGTTCTGCATACAAAGTTATGTAATTTTCCCTATTTTAAACTGGTTAGTTGATACTCTGGAAGAAATTATGAGATAATATTTTAGATTTATGGCAATTAAAGTGATCTAAGAGCACAATATTGGCTGATAGAAAAATATTTCTTTCCCCATTATGTTAAATAATATGAATATCTATTTTAAGATTTTTTTATTTGAAAGTCAGAGTTACACAGAGATAGGAGAGACAGAGAGAGAGAGAGAGGCAGAAAGAGAGCAAACGAGCTTCCATCCAATGGTTCACTCTCCAAATGGCCGGAGCTGCGCCAATCCGAAGCCAGGATCCAGGAGCTTCTTCCAGGTGTCCCGTGCGGGTGCAGGGGCCCAAGGCCTTGGGCCATCTTCTACTGCTTTCCCAGGCCGGAGCAGAGAGCTGGATCGGAGAGGAGCAGCTGGGACTAGAACCAGCACCCATATGGGATGCCGGCGCTTAAGGCCAGGGCGTTAACCTGCTCTGCCACAGTGCCGGCCCCGAATATCTATTTCAAGTATTGTTATCAGTTCATATTTTATAAGGAGAATCATCTGATGAAAATTGATTAAGGAATGATTCTGGTAGAATAGCTGCAAATTAGTGTTGGCTTCTTGTAAACTATTGTGAATCTTTCTGGAGAGAGTTTAGGCATTCGGTCTAACACAGGAATTATTCTCTTCAGGTTGTCTGTAACTTCGTTCTGGCAATCTGAACAGAAAACGTAAGCCAGTGTTTTTGTATTGTTAGTTTTAGATAGCTGGAAACGAATCCTTTTCACTCGTTGTTCGTAGCTCTTTGCGGGGGGATGACTTTTCTCTCTGCGTCTTTCTGTAGATACAAGAAGGCGGAAGAAAGAGAACCTCTGATAGCAGCCATGCACATATTTCTGCCCCGCATTCAGCAGCAAATCGTGCAGCTCCTTCCCGACCCCTGCCACTACTCTGTGCTCCTGCAGAAGCAGATTCTGAAAATATTCTACGCCCTCGTCCAGGTCAGTCTCCACTGCAGACCGGTGTGGAGCCTGGCGTTGCTGACGGGCGCGAGGGAAGTGCGGAGGAGCTGGTAGTGAGGACAGAGAGCTGTGTGTTCTCACAGACCTCTTTAAAGAGGCCTGGGAGAAACAGGCCCATAGATAAGCTCATCTGACCAGGGTCGTCTTTTACTAGGAAGATGGATGTGTTTCTTCCTTTGACAGGCAGAGCGGCGGAGAGGGGAGGGGCATAGAGATCGATCTCTCAGCCGCTCATCAGTGGACTCCCCACGTGGCTGCAGCAGCAGGGCTGGGTCAGGCTGAAGCCGAGAGCCTGGGACTCCATCTGGGTCTTGCATGTGGGTGGCAGGGACCCAAGTGCTCGGACTGCCATCTGCCTTCCAGGACGGGTGTCAGCGGGCAGCTGCATTGGCAGTGGAGGCGGGACTCCATCCCAGGCGTTCTGCTATCTCCAGATGGTCTTAGTGACCGAGCAGAGATGGCCTGGGGTGCCTGCGCCCCGTGCCTGAAGTCCTGGGCGGGAGGAACTGGGGTAGCTGCTGCCCTCAAACCTGTGTGTGGCTGCTCTGAGCGTGCCGTCTCTGCTACGGGTCACAGGATTGTCCAGAAGGAGGGAAACGCAGCAGAGAGTCCTTGTTTCGCTGGGAAATAGATTGGAGGCAATTTTCTGCATTTGACCCAACTTTAACATGATTTAGTGGTTCACTTTTCTTTGGTTTAAAATGGTACGTTTTTCTTAAATGGGAATCTAGAAAGTAGATAGACAAAGTGGGGCATAGGTTTGACATATAAAATATTGAACCTTGAGTCCTTGACAGATGCGGGTGGGTCATTGCGTGTGGGCGGAGGCGGACCACTGCTGTCAGCTTGGTCTGCTGGGTGCTGAGCCGGATGGGCCGTGGCGCTGCCTCCTGGTGACGTTCGTCTCAGCCAGAGGGGCACTGGGCCTGTCCTGCGCCTTGTGTCCGACTTGATGGACTTGTGCAGTGTCAGGATGTGTCAGCTTACCGCCGACTTAGGTTTTATTTAAAGTCTCAATAGAGACAGCCTGAGGCAGGTATGTTTTTCCAGGTCAGCCTTTTTATGGGGGCAGGGAAAGGTGCATATCTGAGAAGAGAGAAGAACTAGGATACGTGGAAAACGTATTTCATATTTCCCTGCTGCTGCTTTTTTTTTTTTTTAAAGATTTATTTATGTATTTGAAAGGCAGACTTAGAGGGCAGGAGAGACAGCTTCCGTCCTCTGAAATCACTCCCAAAATGGCTATGATGGCTAGAGCTGGGCTGATCTGAAGGCAAGAGCCAGGAGCTGCTTCTGGGTCTCCCACATGGGTGCAGGGACTCAAGCACTCGGGCCATGTTCCTCTGCTTTCCCAGGTGCATTAGCAGAGAGCTGGCTCTGAAGTGGAGCAGCTGGGATTCAAACTCGTGCTCATATGGGATACCAGTGGCTTAACTTGCCATGCCACAGTGCTGGCCCCTGCTTTTTTTTTTTTTTTTTCTTATTTCTTAATGAAGAGGGAAGATGTTTGGTGCCTTTGTTAAAGCACTGTGTAGAAACTTGCCTGAGTTGGGCTGCGTTAGCTTGCGGCAGACTTACTTGATGCTGCGAGGACTTTGCTAGTAGGTGCGATATCGGCTCATTCGGAGGCCGGCTTGCCCTTTCTTACTGGGAGAGACCACCAGTAACGGAGACTTAACACAGAAGCGGATGACGTCATATTCCCAGAGCCTCTGCCTCTGCTTGGCTTGCTGGGAGGCTAAGTCCAAAATTTTTCTCTGAAACTGTTTTGTGCCAAAAACATAAAACATGTGAAAAATAAGAGCTGCGTGTTTGAGGCGTGCTAATCAAAAATCAGACACACAAAGGAGCGAGGGGCAGAATCGCTTTTCTAGGATCTCATGCTGGACGGTCAAGAAACTAACGCTATTCAAGTTTGTTTTTGGTTTTTTTTGGTTTTGTTTTAAAAAGTAGCTTAGTGAATCAAATCATGGAATGTTTGCTTCAAAATTTCAAAACTTTATGTGAGGATATTTCAAAAAGCTCATGGGAAATGGAATTGAAAGAAGCTTATTTTTGTGTAAAAATGTTGAAGTCGCGCATAGATTTTTCATAGTAGGCATTTTCCGTAAACTTTCCAAAGATCCCTTTGATACAGGCTTCTGGATCCATTGTAAGTTAGGTTTTAGGCTGAACCACACCAAGTTGCCATCGTTACGTTCCTACATTAGCTGTTTCACGTAAAAGCCCTTCAGAAAGCTCCTGGGGAAACTCTAGTGCAGGATTTTGATGGGGTGCGGAAGACTTGGACAGCCCTGGGGGGGCGGTGCGGAAGACTTGGACACCCCTGGGGGGAGGTGCGGAAGACTTGGACACCCCTGGGGAGTGTCTCCCGGCGCCCAGTCCGTGACCTTTGTGAACCCCTTCTAGATCTCTCTGAGGGCAGGAGTCACTGAATGTTGTTGCCTGTCTTGCAGTACGTGCTGCCTCTGCAGCTGGTGAGTAACCAGACCATGACCACGTGGATGGAGATCTTCCGCACGATCGTCGACAGGACAGTCCCTCCCGTAAGAGACGCTGGGAACCGGGTGTGGAGCACTGGTGGACGCCCTCCTTGCCAGTCTGCTGCTTGAGAATAAGTTACTCTTGAAAAGAAACAGCTTATACTATATTCATTTCAAAAACTCAGAGAGGCAAAAATAATAAGAGCTACATTTAATTGTATTAAAATGGTGAAATCCGTTTTGCTTTAAATATTTACAAATATAAATGTGTATGTGTTACTTATTTGAGGGGCAGAGAGAGGGAGAGAGACAGATCTTCCATTTACTGGTTTACTCCTCATATCCCACAAGGTTGGGGCTGGACTAGGCCAGGCCAAGGCAGGGAGCTGAGAACTTGATCCGAGTCTCCCATGTGATGGCAGGAAATCAACTGCTTGAGCTGTTATCTGCTGACTGCCATGGTCTGCTTCGGTCAAGCTCTTGATTCCAGCTTCTTGCCAAAGAGTTGAACCCAGACACTTGGACTGGGACGTGGGCCTCTTAACTGACGTGTTAATTGTGAGACCAAATGCTTGCCCCCAAAAAACTGTTTTTGCAACTTGATATTGATCTTCTAGCTTTTTTTTCTGTGCATATATATGCAATAATACTTTATAAAAATATATGTAGATGATACTGTGAAAATCACTTTTCATTTAAAACTTGGGGCTTCTTATTATGAATACTTTTATATGGTTTAAATTTTGGTGAATGCTTCATTTGCTGGATATTTAGATCGCTTTAAATTTTTTAGTATTTGTAAGATCGTATTTAAATTTTTGTGCAATCCATTAGTCTTTTCTTTGGGCAAATGTACGGAAGTGTTTCAGGCTTCTGCAAGACCTTGCCAGGTGCTTCCAAGAAGAGTGCCCTGGTCTGAAGATCCCTGTGTGCATACACACTTAGGTTTTACTGTGCTTCGTTGATGGTTGAAGCTGTCTCATGTTGATGTGCAATATCAAGGATGTATTTTTTTAGCTCTCAAAATAACTACGTATATTTTAAAATTTAAACTTGTTTAAAAATTTATTAATCTGAAAGGCAGGATGACAGAGAGGGGGAGAGATGTTGGGTTATTTTCTCTCTGTTCGTCCGTTCCCCAAATTGCTGCAGTTAACTGGGGCTTGTCCATTTCGGAGCCAGGAACCAAGAACTCCATCCAGGTCTCCCAGATGGGTGGTAGCAACCATCGTCTGCTTCCCAGGTGTAGCTGGGACTTGAACTGGCACTTGGGAACAGTGTTTTGAGTTGTAATTTATGAACTTGGAAGCAAAGAAGCTAGTGGGCAGTTCAGTGACTCGGACAACAGTACACTTGTGTTAACCATCGCCAGGTCAAAGGGTAGAGCCTTTATGTCGGTTCTTTGGGACTGTGCGGTTTGTATTTTCTATTTGCTTGCGCTTTTTGAAGACAGGAAGTAAATGGGAAGAATAGCCTTGGTTGGGTGAAATCTGTTTTGCAAATGACAAAGTAAGAATTTGCATCTGTGTCCCACTCCGACTTGACATTCGGTGTGAGAGAATGTGCAGAGGCCTGCCTTGTTGTGCAGGAAGTCCTCTGGGCAGGAGCCTCATCGGGGTGCTCTTGTCCTCCTAGGAGACCCTGCAGATCGACGAGGATGACAGGCCCGAGCTCGTGTGGTGGAAGTGTAAGAAGTGGGCGCTGCACATCGTGGCCCGTCTCTTTGAACGGTAATCCTCTGCCGGTCCCCGTGACGCCGCACAGCCATCTCCGTGCTGCCCGTGAGCAGAGCGCGGTTGTAGGGATGCTCTATGGTGTCCACTGTTGGTCTTAAAGCCACAGCAGGCAAGGCGTGGGCCTCCGTGTAGTGGAGGTCTACGTCTGAGATCATAAAGAAGGGGGCAGCCTTGGCTGGCTCTTCAGTTGTGTGAAAAACATGGAAAAATAATACTGTTCACTTCCTTGGGAATACCCAGGAATTATGCAAGAAGGTACATGGCCACTCCTTAAGAAAGTCAAATTTAATTAAAAATGATTCAACACTACTATAGAACAAAGTTGGCAGTTGAATCCCTAGTGTTGGCCCTTCACGGCTCTTGGCTGAGTGGGTGAAAGTCTGTCTGCAGCTGTAAGGATGGCACAGAGGCAGAGCTCACCATGATCTTGTTTGGTGGCTGTGGAAGGCAGCTGCAAGGTTGTTTTCTGCCCCGGAAGAGTGCATCTTGTTAACAAGCGTCTGTTTTTCACACTAGTGAGCATGCTTTGCTGTTAAACTTTACAGTAATTAAATTTTTTTCCTCTTTTTAAGATACGGAAGCCCAGGAAATGTCACAAAAGAATACTTTGAATTTTCTGAATTCTTTTTGAAAACCTATGCAGTAGGAATTCAGCAGGTAATCAGCTTATGCCTTTTTTTTTCTTTAAGATTTACTTGTTTGAAAGGCACAGTTACAGAGAGGGTGAGAGGGAGGGAGGGTCATGGAGAGGAAGATCTCCCATCTGTTGGTTCACTTCCCAAGTCACCCCAGTAGCCAGAGCTGGGTCGCTCTGAAGCCAGGAGCTTCTTCCAGGTTTCCTGTAAGGGTGGCAGGGAACCAAGGACTTGGTCCATCTTCTGCTGCTTTCCCAAGCACATTAGCAGGGAGCTGGATCGGAAGTAGAGCAGCTGGGTATTAAATTGGTGCCCATATAGAATACTGGCTTCACAGGTGGGCGCTTTACCCACTAAGCCACAGTGCCAGCCCCAACATTGTTTGTATCCTAAACAAAACTTACTACTGATCATTGCTGTGTCGGGAACCTACTGAGGAAGCAAAGATTAAAGACAAACAGAGTTAACGATAGATAGAGCGATGGCAGATTTTCGTGTCTTTATTGTCAGCCAGAATGGTGCCTCTTCAGCAGTAAGCGTGCTAACCCAGTTTAATGAGGAGAGTACATCTGAAAGACCAGGCAGGTGTCTCAGGAGAGAGCCGAGGGCGGAGTAGAACCATTTCCTGGTTCAGGAAAGCTGTAGTTACAGTTCTGTCACGCATTCTTTTCTTGGCCTGTGATTCAGCGTGCAGTGAATATGGCTGAGATCAGCTCTTCAGCAGTGCACATGGGTTCCGAGCTGGGAAGCTGTTCTGACCCCATTAAGCGTCCTAAAGTCGATGTCCCCTGGAGCTGTGCTCTGCACTCTGCTAGTGTCACAGAGACACGCATGTGTCTATGTATTCACATGTGCTCCATCCTCCCTGCTGTCCAGGGGCCGCGCTGCTATTGGAAGTAGTCAAGCAGAATCTTCCATTTTTAGCTGGTGTCACAGGAGGGCTTTTGAGGTAGCCGTAGGACTCGTGACAAGTAACGTCAACCTGAGTTTCATGTAACTTGAATGGAACTGATGTTCTGATTTGCAACTTTGGTGAGAACCATTTTTATTTATCACAGACTTGACAGGGCAGTGCTCTGGAGAGCAGGCCTGGGTGCAGGAACACTTGGGGTTTGTGGCTGTGCTGCTTCTGCCTACGGCCCCTGACCAGTCACGAGGCTCTGCACGGTCCCTTCCTTAGAAACCGGTGTTCTCATCTGTGACTTAGAAATAATTCTTGGCCAGCGACACGGCTCACTAGGCTAATCCTCCACCTAGCGGCGCCAGCACACCGGGTTCTAGTCCCAGTCAGGGTGCCGGATTCTGTCCTGGTTGCCCCTTTTCCAGGCCAACCCTCTGCTGTGGCCAGGGAGTGCAGTGGAGGATGGCCCAAGTGCTTGGGCCCTGCACCCCATGGGAGACCAGGAGAAGCACCTGGCTCCTGCCTTCGGTTAGGCGCGGTGCGCCGGCCGCAGCGGCCATTGGAGGGTGAACCAACGGCAAAGGAAGACCTTTCTCTCTGTCTCTCTCTCACTATCCACTCCACCTGTCAAAAAAAAAAAAAAAAAAAAAAAAATTCTCAGTTGTGTGTTAGGTTTACAAAGATAGTCATTCTGTGGTCTGAAATGATAAAGTCTGAGTCTTCCATATTTTTTTCTAAGAATCTTTTTATTTTTGTTGAAATATTTTCCCATTTGGGTTTCTTTTGTTATGAAATTTATTCAGGCATAGGGAACTAATTTAATTTCTTTTTTCAGAGGGCCAGTCAGTGCCGCCTCTTGCTGTCTGGAAATTTTTAATGTTTATTCATTCAAATCTGTTTTGCTTATTTGAAAGAGGGAGAGGAAGTGTGTGTGTGTGTGTGTGTGTGTGTGTGTGTAAGACACAGAGAGATACAGAACCTTATCTTTCGGTTCCCTCCCAAATGCCAGCCGTGGCCCCAAGCCAGGATCCCAGAATTCAGTCTGGATCACCTAAATGCGTGGCGGGGGGTTCAGGTGCCTGAGATCCAGGTCCTCTTCTGCTGGGTGTGCATCAGCAGAAAGCTGGGTCAGAAGTGGAGTTGCTGGGACTTGAACTTGGCACTCCAGTGTGGGATGCTGACACCCTAAGTGGTGGCTTAACCTGCTGTGCCGCAACTTCCATGCCTGTTAGATACTTTTAACAGGAGTTTTAGTTCATTTTGAGGTTCTGGTAGTGGAATAGGGTTTAGGCTTATTCGGAGTAGTTCCATAGGCTAGGGCCTGGAAATTACAGTGTGACACTCTGTGGTTTAATATAACATAGACCCGTGTAATAATTAAAACTGACTGTGTGAGCCTTCTCTTTAATTACTCTTCTCCCCCTAAGTCTGATGTTGGTCTTCTCGAGTTCTGGATTTTCTGTCATGCCCAAGACATCACACACACCGACCACCTGCCCTGCTGTGCCTTAACCTGCGGGTTGTTGATGATCCTGTGTGTTTTCTCTTCCTCTCGTCTTACAGGTACTACTAAAAATTTTAGACCAGTACAGACAGAAAGAATACGTGGCCCCCCGTGTTCTTCAGCAGGCATTCAACTACCTGAACCAGGGAGTGGTCCACTCTGTGACCTGGAAGCAGATGAAGCCGCACATGCAGGTGAGCGTCCGAGAGCCGCTCTGTGATAAGCAAGTTTTCTTGACGAGGTGTCCCTGATCCCACGTCTTACATGAAATGTGTTTCTGTATCCATGAACATTGTCCAGTGAGTGCAGTCTGAGACCCGGCCTGCAGGGCTTGGAGTCCGAGCATCAGGGAAGAGGGGTGCCTTCCGCTTAGGGTCTGTTTGCCCAGCTTCTCTGTAAGGGTAGAGAACGTCTCCTGCACTGCTCACTGCGAGGTTGCTGGGCCCGGACGAGCTGTGAGAATGCGTGGTGACAGCTGGCAGCGGGCTCTGCTGGGCCAGTGTTGCTGTGCAGTGAGTGAAGCCGCCTACGTGGCCGTTTGCTCTGCCAGGTATGAGCAGCAAGTTCTCTTTCTTTCTTTGGATCATTAACTTCTACGGCGGAAGTTAAAACTTCTCTGTCTTTAATATAGGATTCAGCATTATTTAAACAAATCAGAATGGAAAATTATGGACCCTTAATAGATACTGTTAATTCACATGAAAAAATTTGAAGAATTCAGTGCCATTAGGAGTGGGTTTATGGAGAGTGTAGATAGGATCCTCCCTCCAAATTTGTTTTTGTAGAGTAGAAAATGGTATTTTTGAAAATGAACGAAGGAAAATTTGTTGTTGATTTATTTCCATGTGGACAAAAAAGTATTGTAGTAAAAACCTTGGCTTGATATTTTTATGCCCTGTGTTCCTAAATCTGTTTATATGAAATACATGAAATTCGTATGCCTTTAATAAAAATAAAAATAAACACCTTACCATCACCAACACAAGAATTCTAGGGTGTAAACAAACACACATTGCTGCAAGTAGGCGATTAAACTGTGCAAATTTTCTGTGGACAAATCCAAAACTTTAAAATAATTTATCATTTTAAGGTTTTTTCCTTGTTTATCACTCCTGTGGGGAAACCTAGAGGTAGATGGAGTTACAGATGCGTTCATTCCAGCATAATACAATGCTGTTTATACCTGAAAGAAACACCCATTTGTTAGTAAAGGTGTATTACCTTGTTTCTTCAAAGGAACATGTGTACACATTGCAGAGGGAAGGTTAACGTGAAAATCGGGACAGCAGCACCCACGGGCGTGGCGAGCGGGTGCTGGCCCCGGTTGGAGCCGGCCGTGCCCACGAGCTGTTTGTTGTTTCCATGTCGTAGAACATATCGGAGGATGTGATCTTCCCAGTGATGTGCTACAGAGACGAGGATGAGGAGCTGTGGCAGGAAGATCCGCACGAGTACATCAGGATGAAGTTTGGTAATGCATGTGCTGTGGGCCCCGTCGGTCTCTGCACGTGTAAAGCAATGTAACCAAATGCGTACTTTTAAGCGGATGTTGTGACTTGACCGTGAAACTCGGGAGTTGGCTGTGCTGCTGAAGCTCAGAGCTGGGGCCGTGGATCTGGCCGTGATGAGCCCCCAGTCAGCCCTCAGGGTGCCGCAGCACCCGTGGGCTGTGTGTTACTGTCCTGTTGTGACCAGGCTGCCGGGACACCTGTTTATGAATGGGGTTCTTCTCAATTCTGGGAGATCCTTGAGATTGAGGACATTTTAGGAGCATCCCAGTTAGCTTTGCCTCCTCACCCTAGGGACCAGGATTCCCCGAGGGAATAGAACTCCCTGCCAGGGCCTCGCTGTCTGACCTAGGTTCTCTGGGGGTCCTTTCAGCGTGGGTCTTCCTGGAAGCTGCTGAACTGTGCAGGTTGCCCGAGTCACTCCCCCCCTCCCGGGCCCGTCCAGTTGGCATTAATGGACTGATGGACTGAGCAGCTGGCATAGCAGAATGTTAGTTTACGTCCCTCTGCCTCTCGCAGTCTGAGGGCGGGAACGCTGTTCCCTGCGTTGCTTCTTCATCCCTTCTGGCGTCTGGGCTGGTGCTTGGCTCCCTGCGCCTTCAGTGAAGGTGAACCAGTGCTGCTCACAGCAGCGCTGCCGAGGGCGCTCAGAGCGGCGGCCGTGCTTCCTGTGTTGAGTGGGGGGTCTGTAGCTGCCTGCCTTGAACTTATTAGACTTACTGTCTGGACACTGCCTGGTGTTGGCATGAATTGATGCAGTAAGCGGGGAGGCGCCTCTTGCCTTAGTGACAAAGCGCAGGAAAAACAAATGGAGGTGAATAACGTTTGCCCTCTGCTTCTGCTTTCTCTCTCTGTCCTGTCTTCCTCCTCTGGAAGTCATCACTCACATTGAGGGTTTACTGTTTCCTCTTGTGACTTTGTTTTCCTGCTTTGGTGGAATGGTGAGCTCGTCTTTTTTTTTTTTTTTAAAGATTTATTTATTGGCCGGTGCTGCGGCTCACTAGGCTAATCCTCCGCCTTGCAGCGCTGGCACACCGGGTTCTGGGGCGCCGGATTGTGTCCCGGTTGCCCCTCTTCCAGGCCAGCTCTCTGCTGTGGCCAGGGAGTGCAGTGGAGGATGGCCCAGGTGCTTTGGCCCTGCACCCCATGGGAGACCAGGAGAAGCACCTGGCTCCTGCCTTCGGATCAGCGCAGTGCGCCGGCCGCGGCGGCCATTGGAGGGTGAACCAACGGCAAAGGAAGACCTTTCTCTCTGTCTCTCTCTCTCACTGTCTACTCTGCCTGTCAAAAAAAAAAAAAAAATTATTTATTTGAAAGTCAGAGTTATAGAGAGATGCAGAGAGAGGTCTTCCATCCTCTGGTTCAGTCCCCAGTTGGCTGCAATGGCTGGAGCTGTGCCGATCAGAAGCCAGGAGCTTTTTCCAGGTCTCCCACGCAGGCAGGGACCCAAGGACTTGGGCCATCTTCTACTGCTTTCCCAGGCAGAAATGGAGCAGCCGGGACTCAAACTGGTGCCTGTATGGGATGCCAGCACTGCAGGCGGCAGCTTTACCTACTAAGCCACAGTGCCAGCCCCTGAGCTCGTCTTTGTTTGAAGGCATTTTTTCAGTGTTTACTTTTCTATAATACTTACGTGTTTTTATAATATACAGCATGTTAAAATGCTCCATATGTCACTGATTCTTCCTATCTGATAGGATATTATCTCAGTTTTGAGATAATAAAGAGCTGTGTATGTTGACTAATAGGCTATTTGGATTTTATTTGTTTAAAATATTTTATGGGTGGCTTAAGACTAGCTGGAATGCTTCTTTTTTTTTTTTTTTTTTTTTTTTTTAAGATTTATTTATTTGAAAGGCAGAGCTAGAGAGAGAGAGGGAGAGACGGAGGTCTTCCATCTGCTGGTTCACTCCACAAATGGCTGCAATTCCTGGAGCTGTGCTGATCAAAGCCAAGAGCCAGGAACTTCTTCCTGGTCTGCTATATGGGTGCAGGGGCCCAAGAACTTGGGCCATCTTCTGCTTTCCCAGGCCATTAGCAGGGAGCTGGATCAGAAGCTGAGCAGCCAGGACTGGAACTGGCACTCATATGACATGCTGGCACTAAAGCTGGTGGCTTAACCCGCTACACCACAGCGCTGGCCCTGAAGTGCTTTTTCTTTATCCTGTGGACTAGAATGCAGTGACAATTATTTATGTATTTTACTTTTGGATAACTATAGGGAAGAACAGTTAATGTGTTTTCCTTTAAAAATTTTTTTGTCAGTTGCAGCTATTTGTATGAATGGAACACTCCTATCTAAATGTATTGACTGATATTAATAATAATGTTTTCTTTATTTTTCCTGTTGTGTTCCCTTTAACCAACACCTTCTGATTTCTCCAGTAATGATGTTTAGGTAAAAGTGATAGGAGTCAAGGCTTAGGTGTTAAGACAGCCTACATACAAACACTGGTTTGGTTTTTTAATTGTTGTGTAGCCATGAGCAGTTACTTAACCTTCCTGAAGTGGAATGTTTGTCGCAGTCAACGGGTCATCATGACAGTACTGGGAGGGTTAAGTGGGACAGTACCCAGGAAAGAAGATGGTGCAGTTGTTAAATTGTTACGTGTGTATCTTACATTGTCAGGTGACGACTCGGATTCGGATCAAGTGGTATGTTGAGTTTAGAGAGGCTAACATTGAGCACGTGCCCATGGAATGCCTCCTGTAGGCAGAGCCGGGCCTTATCCTCACGATCCGCCTTCTCTGCCCTCGGCTTGCAGGGCTTTGTCTTTACATTTCCATGGGCAACGTTTTTGTTTATGTATTTATTTAAGATATCTAGAAGTTTGAGAGGCAGAGTGACAGAGAAAGGGAGACACAGAAAGAGAGGGGTCCTCCATCTGCTAGTTCACTCCCCAAATGACCAACCTGAAGCCAGGAGTGAGGAGCTTCCTCCGGGTCCCCCATGTGGGTGCAGGGGACCATGGACTTGGGCCATCCTTCACTGCTTTCCCAGGCCATAGCAGAGAGCTGGATCGGAAAAGGAGCAGCCGGGACTTGAACCGAGAGCCATGTGGGATGCCAGCACTGCAGGCAGAGGCTTGACCTACTGCACCACCATGCTGGTCCCCATGGCAGCTTTTGATGGGCCTGTGGGGAGGTGTCCCCTGATACTGTGTGTGGGGGGGAAAAAAAGTAGCAGCCCCTTTTCTCACCGTGTCCTGCCCACTTCACTTTTGTTCCTTGCCTGACCTATTGAGCAAACATCTGTATCACATGGGTCTCTCCTCTGACCACATAAGCCTCATAGAAGCATTTCTGTTTCATCCGGGACTCTGCAGAGCCTGGGGCAGAGCCTGGCGCCGAGTGAGCATGGCAGAGTGGTGGTTGTGTCCCGACAGAGAGCAAGCCCTATTCTTGTCCTCCGTGAAACAGCGGGGCCTCCCGGGTGCTGGTTTCCAGGCGGAGTTTTGGAGGGGCAGCCTGGTTCATGGGTGTCGTGGTGACAGTGAGTGACATGTCCGGAGCTGGCTTATGCTGCCAGTCGGTGTGGTGTGCACTGTCGGATTTCTTGGCTCAGGACAGTAGTAGGTCAGGGCTCAAGTCTATAATTACTTACTATGCCTTTACTAAGATGGTTTAACCTTTTTAAATCTTAGATATTTTTGAAGATTATGCTTCTCCCACCACAGCAGCCCAGACTCTGCTGTATACTGCTGCAAAGAAAAGGAAAGAGGTACGTGGGTACCTTCATACACCCAAGACATGAAGGCAGCTGGTGGTGTGCTGATGTGCCAGTACACCGCCAGTGTTGGAGAAGTTAGATGATTGTAGCCGTCAGCTTCAGGATATTTTATTCTGTCCCAGCAAGGGGAAAGGGGAAAGGCAAAAGTAGCATTGATCATTTCGTTTCTTGGCAAATTGAGTATTTCTTATTAAGCATCTAGATCTTTGATAAAACACAATAAACTAGCTTTCTTTTTGAAAACTTGTACACTTGATGCCATAGGGAGGCAGCACAAGTTCACGTAGACTGAAGTGGGCTCTTGTGTTTCTTCAGGTCTTGCCAAAAATGATGGCGTTCTGCTACCAAGTCCTCACAGACCCGAGTGTCGATCCCAGGAAGAAGGACGGAGCCCTGCACGTGATTGGCTCCCTGGCTGAGATTTTACTGAAGGTCAGGGTGGTCTCAGTTCAGCTGAGTGGGCTCATTGAACACTGGTGGCTGCTGTGGGTAATCAAGATGATTGGATATGCCCTCTGTCCCTGATTTCTTTAATTAAAAATGATCACTTTTTTGGGTCAATTTTTCCTTTTGAAACCATTGCTATACAGAAGGACTTTGGTGTTCTTCAGAAATCAGTATCAGATTGATCTAAGGTAATAGTTGTGCCATGTTGTAAGATATGCTATATTGTAGGCCAAATAATTTTACAAAACTTCAAATAGAAGTACAGTAAATGCAAGTCATCATAAACATACTTGTTAGGAAATGAATCTTAACCATGAAAAAGACATTGAAAAGTGGAAATGTAATTTGTTTCTTCACAGAAGAGTTTATTCAAGGACCAAATTGAGTTGTTTCTGCAGAATCATGTGTTCCCATTGTTACTGTCCCACCTGGGATATCTTCGAGCTAGAGTAAGTTTCTCACCTTTTTGTTAAGTTTCATGAGATCTTCATCTGCAAGATAATGACTGAATAAATGTTTAGGGATGAATTGTTCTTGTACCAGTGGAATGATGGAGAATGTTTATTATGGTCACATCAGTTGAATCAAGAATGAGTTAGTAAAGAAAAAGACTTGTAGATTTTATTTCCTACTGAGTTCACTTCCTTTATCAGCTGAGCCTCATTGGCCACATAGGTAAAACAGGCAGTGTTGAGGGTTGATTTTACAGCAATGGTATGATGTAAATTCATAAACAATTGGCGTCTAGTTAAAATGGCGTGAAATTCTAGTTGGGCTACAAACTTGAGATTTCCAGTATGTTTGGCAACTTAGTAACGTTCCAGTGTGAACTTATGTTCTAAGTGCTATTTCTAGAATCCATTTATTTTATGGCGAAATAGAAATGGAAGTTTATTTCTAGAGCCTATGTTTATAAATAGCTCCACACAGAAAATGCCATGCTAAAAACACGTTAGCCATGTCTGTGTGCCAGCCTGTGTTTTGTAAATGTGACAGCCAGTGGAGAATTCCTGGTCCAGCTGTCATTTAGGAAGGCCTAGGGCACGGGTGAGATTCTCTTCCTCCAGCCTTCAGAAACACAAATAACTTCTGTTGTGTGTCATGCACATAGAGGAAAAAGTAAAGGAGCAATGAGTCTGTGTTCTCATAGCTTAACACTTGATCATCTAGACAAGTTTTAATGTTCTTGTTAACTTACGTGAGAATAGAATTTTTCCAAGTTTGTGAGAAAAAATGACGTTCATCTAAATGTGAAGTCAGCAAATGGAGAAGCTTTTACTTAAAACAAGTTAGTTACAAATCATAATATTTATTTATTTAAAGCATAAGTAGGATTTTTTTCCTGGGATGTTTGAATTGGGCTTCATTTTCTCTTGCCTAGGAAAAATATCACTGTATACAGGTAATTTAGAAATAATGAAACTACTTTTTCATAACAAGAAATTCGGAAGTAGCCTTCTGATTAAGAAGTTGGATAAGACTCCTGCATCCCGGGTCGGAATACCTGGGTTCAAACCCTGGCTCTGCTCCCATTCCAGCCTCCTGTTGGAACAGCCATGATGGCGCAGGTGGTTGGGTTCCCCCACTCACAGGAGAGATCTGGGTTGAGTCTGGTGCTCCTGTCTATAGTTCCGTTTATTCCTCACCACTGCAGGAAGTGAGGGAGTGAACCATGAGGTGGGAGCTCGGTCTCTTCCCTCCCTGTCTCCTAAATAAATAAATTTTTAAAAAGAAATGAGGAAACTAAAGCAAGCAATTGTTGGTAAACCTGGTGGTATTTCACTAAGAAGTTCTTGTATGTGTGACGTCATTGCAGAATGCCATAATCCCAATCTCTTCCTACTTACTTGCTTCTTACAATACAGTCGTGCTGGGTACTCCATGCATTTAGTTCTCTGAAGTTTCACAATGAGCTCAACCTGAGAAATGCCGTTGAATTAGCCAAGAAGAGCCTGATCGAAGATAAGGAGATGCCTGTTAAAGTTGAAGCCGCTCTTGCTCTCCAGTCATTAATCTCTAATCAGATACAAGGTAAAGCCAAAATCCCTGTCGCAAGTTTAAAAATTTTAAAATCTGAGGGTCCAGGGCTTGGATTTCTGAGCTTTTGCCCCCTCAGAATTTCACTGGGGTTTATTCTTGACTAATTCACGAATTGTTAGTGATTGTGGTTTCCAGAAAAATTTTTAGGCTGGGACCCACGTTAGTAATTGTTGGATTCCAGGAAGGCTGTCTTGGCACACAGGCCTTGGTGGGCGCAGGGTTCATCAGGGATCATCAGGCTCAGGCCTTGGTGGGCGCAGGGTGCCTCAGGGTCAGGCCTTGGTGGGCGCAGGGTTAATCAGGGTCAGGCCTATGGGAGACACAGGGTTCCTCAGGGTCAGGCCTTGGTGGGCGCAGGGTTAATCAGGGTCAGGCCTATGGGAGACACAGGGTTCCTCAGGGTCAGGCCTTGGTGGGCGCAGGGTTAATCAGGGTCAGGCCTATGGGAGACACAGGGTTCCTCAGGGTCAGGCCTTGGTGGGCACAGGGTTCATCAGGGTCAGGCCTTGGTGGGCACAGGGTTCATCAGGGTTCCTCAGGGTCAGGCCTTGGTGGGCGCAGGGTTCCTCAGGGTCAGGCCTTGGTTGATCAGGGCACAGGGTTCCTCAGGGTCAGGCCTTGGTTCATCAGGCGCAGGGTTCATCAGGGTCAGGCCTTGGTGGGCACAGGGCTCATCAGGGCTGAGGCTCCCCCAGGCTCAGGTGTAGGAGCGGGACCAGGCGGCTTCAGGATTCCTTTGAGTCCTAGGCGTCCAGGACTCTGCAGCTCTGCAGGCAGCAGGTGTGTGTCTCTTGAGTGATGACATGGGTCAGAGTTGGGTTAGACCTGTGGTAGTCAGCGGTTGCTGAGGAACATGGACCTACCTGGACTCCCCACAGTGCGCCCTCGGGAGGACTGTCCTGTCGGGGTGTGTAGGAGGGAGGGTGGGTTGGGAAGAATTGGGCTGCATCGGTGTTGGCGTGTTGGTGTAAGTGACTTGTCAGACTTGTCATCAGGAGTGATGTAATACGTTCCCCAAGTTACGCTGATGACAGCATGGGTACTCTAACTAGAATGTTAGGATTTTGGACAGGGCAATTCTTCCTGTGCAGGTCTGCTTATCCCCGTGTTACTCGTGGGAAAGTTGACCAGCTGGTGAATGCTATTTGGCACAGCTTTGTAACTTGTTCACCAAAGAGCAAGTGTGTACGTAGCACCTTCTCTAGATATTGCACTGTGTCACTTCAGCTGTGACGAAGGTAATTGCTTTCACTACCTATGAATGGGTTATGTTTACCAGTGTCTTTTACTGCGTTAGCTAAGGAATTCATGAAGCCACACGTGAGGCCCATCATGCAGGAGCTGTTGCACATCGTCAGAGAAACTGAGAACGATGACGTCACCAACGTGATCCAGAAGATGATCTGCGAGTACAGTCCGGAGGTGGCCTCCATTGCGGTCGAGATGACTCAGCACCTGGTGAGCCTGGCACACGCGGTGTAGCGTGGAAGCTCTGAGCAAGCTGAATAGACGAAACTCGAGGATTTGGAGCACAGCTTTGCTTGTAACTGAACTACGAATAGAGAAAGATTTCTGAAGCTTATTAGTCCAGTAACCTTTAGGATACCACTTAGCATGTATAATCTGAGGTTTTGTGGTGATGTGCCTGGATGTGAGCCTTCTAAATCTCTCTTTTCTGGGCTTTGATTCTGGAAACTCATTTCTTTCAGTTTGGGGCAACGTCTTCTATTTCCTTTATTAGTTTTTTCCCTGCTTTTTTAGTTTTTATTTCCATTTCCTGATGTAGAAATGGATTAAATGTTAGTGTGTATTCCACTGCAGTGAGTAAAAAGGGAAAAAGGACTATTCAAAGCATGACATTTTTAAAAAAGTTGATTTAGTTAGCAAAATGCAGAACTTAAGGTTTGAGATACGTGAAACTGCCCTTTTGATAACCTGTATAATGGGGTATGAGTGCTAACTGTTCATATTTTAATGTTATTTTCGTAGGCTGAGATATTTGGGAAAGTTCTTCAAAGTGATGAATATGAAGAAGTAGAAGACAAGACAGTAATGGCAATGGGTATCCTACATACCATTGATACCATCTTAACGGTTGTAGAAGATCACAAAGAGGTGAGATGTCTTTGGTTTAGCCATAGTAGTAACGTTGACTGTAATTTATATGCTGCTTAGTTATTGCTTGGGTTGGAAAGTGGCCTTTAGTTTTTAAATAAACTTACTAAAATGGCTGAGGGGAAATAGTCCAAGGACTATTTAGAAGTATATGAGGGTACTTTGAAGCCTTTGTGGAAAAGTGGAATTAAAAGATGAGTTTATTTATTTTTTTTAATTATTTATTTGAAAGTTGGAGTTACAGAGGCAGAGAGAGAGAAAGAAAGAAGGAGAGACAGATGGAGAGGTCTTCCATCTGTTGGTTTACACCCCAAATGCCCACAGTGGCCAGAGCTGTGCTGATCTGAAGCCGGGAGCCAAGAGCTTCTTCCAGGTCTCCCAGGCAGTGCAGGGGCCCAAGGACTTGGGCCATCTTCTACTGCTTTCCCAGGCCATAGGAGAGAGATGGATCAGAAGAGGAGCAGCCGGGACTAGAACCAGTGCCCATATGCGATGCTGGCATCGTGGCAGTGGCTTTACCTGCTACCCTGCTACACCAGCCCTTGCAGCTCCTATATTGTGTGCTGAGGACCTAGGAGGATGATTAATCTTGTGTTTATCACATATGGTTGAAGGCTACTAGATTCTTCCAAATAGTTAAGTATTCTTGTTAATTTTTAATATTTGAGAGTCTGAGTGACAGCAGAGAGAAAACTCTTCTCTATCTGTGGTCAGTTCTCCAAATGCCTGCCAGAACTGGGCCAGGCTGAGACCAGGAGCTTGAGAATGCAATCCAAGTCCCCCAGGTGTGAGACATGGACACAGTTACCTGGGTGGTCACCACTGCACTGGCGGACGCTGGAATTGGGAGCTGGAGCTGGGAGTTAAACTTAGGTATTCTTAAGAGATGTGGGCACTCTGCCTGCTAGGTTCACCTCCAGATGGTTCAGTATTTTTCTTCTCAACTTGTCTTCCTTGACATAAAGGACTTACTGTGGAACCATGTGATCATTGGGGTAATGGTGAGATATTCCAAATTACATGACAAACACATTTCAGGGTAGTTCTTTTACCTCTTGTTGGGAACTTACATTTGGAGGTATCTTAGAAGTCACCTGGCCCAGTTTTTCCAGTTGTGTGTGTGGGGATGTGAGGATAGAATGAGCTCCAGGATTAATTTGAAACAAAATAGCACTTTGTTGTGTTAATTTTTTTAAACATTTATTTATTTATTTGAAAGAGTTTCAGAGAGGCAGCGAGAGACAGAGAGAGGTCTTCCATCCGCTGGTTCACTCCCCAGAAGGACCCAATGGCCGGCGCTGTGCTGATCCAAAGCCAGGAGCCAGGAACTTCTTCCGGGTCTCCTACGCAAGTTCAGTGGCCCAAGGACTTGGGCCGTCTTCCACTGCTTTCCCAGGCCACAGCAGAGAGCTGGATCGGAAGTGGAGCAGCCAGGACTTGAACCAGTGCTCATATGGGATGCGGGCATTATACACAGCGGCTTTACCTGCTACCCCGCAGCGCTGGTCCCCTTTTGTGTTAATTTTTGTTAATAGAAATTTATTTTGAATTTTCTCTAATGTTGAGGGAGGATGTGAATATATTGTGATTTTCAACGGAGAAATGAGTTAAAATTGAGAAACAACAATGAAATCGAGCTTTCTCACCTACTGATGAAAAACTTAAAGCATTTGGCTAAATAATAGCTTTACCAAGGTCAGGAATAATTGGTGGCAAAATCTACTAGAATCTTGGTCTCTGGACTGCATATCTCTAAATTTTGAAATTTGACTTGCTAAAAGCAAATTTTGAAGGCAAGATTTCCTTAAATGTGAATACTTGTCCAAATACTTAATGTATAAAAAGCAATATTAGAAACCTGAAATAGGGGGGGCCAGTGCTGTGGTGTAGTGGGTAAAGATGCCGCCTCCAGTGTTGGCATCCTATATGGCCACCAGTTTGTGACCCAGCGCTTCACTTCCGATCCAGCTCTCTGCTATGGCCTGGGATAGCAGTAGAAGATGGCCCAAGTCCTTAGGGCCCTGCACCCACTTGGGAGACCCGGATGAAGCTCCTGGCTTCAGATCGGCACAGCTTTGGCTGTTGTGGCCAACTGGGGAGTGAACCATCGGATGGAAGACCTCTATTTTTCTCTGCCTCTGCTTCTCTCTCTGTTTAACTCTGACTTTAAATAATAAAAAATCTTAAAAGAAAATCTGAAATAGGTGCTTAAGCATAAATATTTTTGTTTAATGGGTTTAATTAAGCATGTTGATTTATTTGTGGATGTATGTATTTGAAAGGCAGAGCAATGATGGAGGGAGACGGATCTTCCATCTGCTGATGACTACCCAGATAGGCACAGTGGCTGGGACTGGGCAGTGCTGAAGCCAGGAGCCAGGAACTCCATCCTGTCTCCCACATGGCTGGCAGGGGCCCAAGGCATAGGGCCATCTTCTGCTGCCTTCCCAGGTGCATTAACTGGAAGCTGGACCGGAGCAGAGCACCTGGGACTTGAACTGGCCCTCTTATATGGAAGGCTGGTGTCAGAAGCAGCCATTTAACCTGCTGAGCCACATGCCAGCCCTGAAAATTTTTTAATCTTGGAAACTTTGTATCTTAAAGACACTAACGTAAGCTGGATATTAGAGTATATTCAAAAGTTGAAATAAGACACTTAGATGAAAAATGTAACTCAGGGTAGATTTTAATTTTATTTGCTTAGAAAATATTTAATACAAGTGTGATTTTTCTACTAACCTACAAAGAATTCTGTTTTTTTCTTAGGAAAACCACAGCATATGATGCACTGTTTTTATCTGCTGGTTCTTTACCTAATATAGCTTAGTGCTCCTTCCATTCCTTCAATAAAGTTAAATATTCTTAGTGGTTGCATAATACTCGCTCATGGCAGGTGTCAGATTTGCTTCACCCGCCTTTGGTTAATGGATGCCGTTGAAATACCCTTGTTGAAATGGACAGTCGGTTGTTAGTAATCGCAGCATTGCTGTCATGGTCTCTTCTGGTTCTGCACTCGGGATCCTTGGGTTAGACTGCTGGATTGGAGGGTGTGGGTGAGTTACTCGGGGATCCTGGATGTGTAGTGTAGACCCGAGTAGATCCCACTGATGCATCTGCAAGTCTGCACAGCCCAGTGCTTGGGTCCCTCCCAGCCTGATAGGTCAGGCGTGTGAGTGCTGCCTCTGGGGCCTGGGCTGCTGCCGGGTTGCTGGGAACGTTTTTTTGGTAAGCCAGGGTCTGTCTGTTACTTTTTCATAACCTTTGCTTATTGCTCTGTGGGGTTATTGGCTCCATGGTAGAAGAATTTGATCCTTATCTCTGATACCATTAGAAAGGATTTCATTGAAGTCTTCAACTTTACCTTGCCCTGTGCAGAAAAAAATTATTTTAAAGATTATATTTATATATTTGAGAGGTAGAGTCACAGACAGGTGAGAGGGAGAGACAGAGAGGAAGGTCCTCCTTCAGTCGGTTCATTCCCCAAATGGCTGCAACGGCAGGAGCTGTGCCCATCCGAAGCCAGGAGCTTCTTCCTGGTCTTCCATTTGGGTGCAGAGGCCCAAGCACTTGGGCCATCTGCTGCTGCTTTCCCAGGCCACAGCAGAGAACTGGATTGGAAGAGGAGCAGCTGGGGCTTGAACTGGCGCCCATATGGGATGCTGGTTCTGCAGGTGCTGGCCCTAGAAATTTTTAATTTTTATTGTCAGAAGTTTTGAGTTTTTGTTTTTCTGGGCTTGAAGTCACTTTGTCTCTTCAGCATTATACAAGAATTAAAAAAGAACTTTATAGTATGTTTATGGTTTATTCACATCAAAATAATCTGTTAGAAATTTATTTTGATAAAAAATATGAAATAAGGAACTAAGCTAATCTGTAATTCCATTATGAATTTATTTCTATTACCATATTTTTTCATAATTATTCTTGCATGTTGAGTTTTTCACATGAAGTTTAGAATTAACCTGTGAAGTTTCTCTAGTGGAAGTGTCCTGTTGATATTTTACATTGCAACATGAAAATTATGGAATAAAAGTGTCACCGATTTAGCCGGCGCCGTGGCTCAATAGGCTAATCCTCCACCTTGCGGCGCCGGCACACCGGGTTCTAGTCCCGGTTGGGGCGCCGGATTCTGTCCCGGTTGCCCCTCTTCCAGGCCAGCTCTCTGCTATGGCCAGGGAGTGCAGTGGAGGATGGCCCAGGTGCTTGGGCCCTGCACCCCATGGGAGACCAGGAAAAGCACCTGGCTCCTGGCTCCTGCCAGGATCAGCGCGGTGCGCCGGCTGCAGCGGCGGCCATTGGAGGGTGAACCAGCGGCAAAGGAAGACCTTTCTCTCTCTGTCTCTCTCTCTCACTGTCCACTCTGCCTGTCAAAAAAAAAAAAAAAAAAAAAAAAAAAAAAAAAAAGTCACCGATTTTAAACTAAATATGTAAAATCTGTCTTTAGATTACACAGCAGTTAGAGAATATCTGTCTACGGATCATTGACCTGGTTTTACAGAAGCACGTGATTGGTAAGTGTAAAGGTGGGATGAATGTTCTTCTCATACTTACTAAATTCACAATGCATTTTTAGCCCATTAAATCTAACAAGGTGACAGTTTTGAGAAAGATAAATGTGTATTTCCTCTGAGTTTGGATATGCTTGATGATGTTCAAATATCCATTTGAGAGTTTTTGGTCGTAGAAAATTTTAAAGACTAGAGAATTTGACAGTTTACTTTAATCAGAAATGAGGAGCTAGTTTGGGGTTTCTTTGAGGCTACTTAACCTGGAGTTGAAGAATGTTCATGGCTCACAACAGGCATGTTTCTCACCAGCAGTGTGAATTAGGTGTTGTCCTGTTCTCTATTACAGCGCCTGAGTTCGGAGCTGGTGGTGTCACAGAAGCCGCTACGTGTTAGGGGCGGCTGGGGGTTTGTGGTGGAGGTGACTTGGCTAAGCATCCAGGTGCTCTGAGCACCCCGCCCCGAGTGCTGTGGGCGTGACCAGATGCAGGCTGCGTAGCTCCCAGTGAGACGCAGGGCAGCTGGCTGATTACTTGCAGTTGTGTACAGACTTTCACTATTTTTTTATGATTTATTTTATTCATTGGAAACAGTTTCAGAAAGAGGTAGAGACATGGAGAGGATGAGGTCTTCCATCTTCCATCTTCACTCCAAATGGCGGCAGCAACCAGAGCTGGGCCCATCTGAAGCCGGGAGCCTCTCCAGGGGTCCTCCTTTGCTTGTTCAGGCACATCAGCGGGGAGCTAGATTGGAAGTGGAGCAGCTGGGACTCGAACCGGCTCCCATGTGGGACACTGGCACTGCAGGCAGCGGCTTTACCTGCTATGCCACCACACCAGCCCCGTATACACGCTTCCTTTGTCATGTCTGTCCCTTCAGGTTTTTTGTGTTGTGGCTTTTGTGGCTAATGCTGCAGTGAGTGTGGGAATGCCGTTCTGTTGGGTGTGTACCCAGCAGTGGGATTGCTGGGGCGTGTGGTGGTTCTATTTGCAATTTTTTTGAGCAGTTTCTATATTGCTTTCTTAGTGACTCCACCAGTTTATTTCCACCATTAGTGCACAAGGGCTCCCTTTCTCCATGTGCTCTTCAAGTTGACCTTTGGTTTTGTTCTGAGGATGGCTATCCTGGCAGGTGTGAGGCTGTATCTCATTGTGGTGTCAATGTGTATGTGATAAGTGATATTGAGCATCTTTTCATATGCATTTTTGGCTACTTAAGTATTTTTTTTGAAAAATATCTATTCAGGCCCTTTGCCTATTTTTTTATCGAGTTATTTATTATAGCTGCTGGGTTTGCATTCCTTCTGTATTTTCAGTTTATCAGATACATGCCTTGCAGTATCGTTCTCCCATGCTGGAGGCTGTGTCTTCAGTCTGTCGATAGTTTCCTTTGCTCTGCAGAGCGTCTTAGTTTGGTGTGATGCCATTTGCCAGTTTTCACTGGAGTGCTTTTGGGGTTGTATCTAGGAAAGTTGTTCCCTACACTGGAGTCACTGACGTTGGCCCTGTGTTTTCTTCCAGTAGGCCCATGATTGCGGGTCTCCGTGAATGCCTCTTTACCCCATTTTGATTTGATTTTGTGTATATTATGAGCTTCCGATTTTTTCCTTGTGTGTGTGGATTTCCAGTTTTCCCAGTGTTCTTTTAAACACTGAGATAGGTGGGAGACGTGAGATAGTCTGTTCTTTCCTGTATTTGTTTCTAATACAGCTTTTAGAAATTATATTTGTGTATCCTGAAATAGAAACAAATTGTGATTTTCCAGTGATAGAAGAACGCTGAGTGAGAACTAAGTGGAGGGCAGGTCTTGGTAAGAGGTGGAAGGCGGAGGAGGCAGCCGAGTGCCGCTCTGGGAGTGTGTGGGGCGGCCCTTGCCCTTCACCGTCGCTCTTTTCCCGCTGTCTGACCGGGGATTTTCTTCCTCCTAGAGTTCTACGAAGAAATCCTTTCGCTGGCGTACAGTCTGACCTGCCGCACTGTTTCCCCTCAGATGTGGCAGCTCCTCGGAATCCTGTACGAGATCTTTCAGCAGGGCTGTTTTGAATATTTCACAGGTATGGCTTGGCTCAGCGTCTGTGTCTCTGTGTCTCGAAACTGCAGTGCCAGTCAGTCGCAGGGCTTCTGCCGCACAGGCGGAGGAGGGGGCTGTAGTTCCCGTTGACTGTGCTGCCTCCAGGTCTCGTCCAGACAGTGTATGCGCGCGTGTTAACTGAATGCGTGTTCTCAGAGCAGCACCCCCGTGCCAGGCACTGTTCTGAGCTCAGCGGTGTCGCAGGGAACCCCGCAGGCAGCGCTTGCCCCTTGAGGCTGGCGTTGTAGCGGGGGCAGGGAGACGCTTAGCCCAGCAAGCGGGGCGAGACGCCGGGGAGGCAGGGCAGTGCTCGGAAGCTGCAGCACGGTGGGCCGCTTTACCTCGCAGGTGCACACTCCCTCACGTGTAGGGGACAGGTGAACTTGGTCAGTTGCTGGGGTTTTGTGGTTGCAGGGTGGGGGTAGTGGTGAGGATGGTAACGTGTGGGTGCCTCACGCATGCAGTCTCAGTGGGAAGAACTTACTCTACTCTTGGGGCTCCCGTCACACTGGGATTTTGAATTTCTTGTTCCCCAGACATGATGCCTCTCCTACACAATTACGTGACCATCGACACAACTACTTTCCTGTCCAACCCAAAGCATTTAGAAATCCTCTTCACGATGTGCAGGAAGGTAAGCCTCTGCGGCAGTGGGCCTCACTAACGGGTGAGCAGTCTCCGTGTTTCTCCGCACGTCGTTCTCTGTGTCTTCCATCGTTTGTGTTCCCAAAGGCAAGCCTGGGGTGGCTGTAACGTCTAGGTTTTGTGTTGTGTGTTACGCTTGGGGATGTCAGCCACGTTGTAATCTGGGTTCTTGGTAAATGTTGGAGTAGTGCTCCCTCAGTGTGCACGTTGCTCAAGTCCTGTACACAAGGCAGTGTTCGCATGTGGCCTAGCAGTCCTCCCGGACACCTGAATTTTCTTTTTAAGGATTTATTTATTTATTTGAAAGAGTTAGAGGGAGAGACAGGGAGAGAAATCTTTCATCATTCATTCCCTAAGTGGCTGCAACTGTGTCCCGATCGTCCATGTGGATGCAGGGACCCACGTACCTGGTCGTCTTCTGCTGCTTTCCCAGGCACAGTGAGCAGGGGGCTCGATCAGAAGCAGAGCAGCTGGGACACAAAGCTGGCCCCTCCTGTGTACTTGAAATCATCACTAGACCACCTACCATGCTGAATACGATGTACGTGTTCTGTAATCGTTGTTGCACTGTATGGGTTTGGGAATAGAGCCAGTACGTGCTGAATACAAGCGCAGGGAGCTCTTTTTATTTGGAAACACTTGGAGTCCATGGTGGGGTGAATCCACAGATGCTAGTGCTTCTCTTGTTCTTTCAAAGCAAAAATACTAGGAAAATTAACACACAGTTTGTCAGTGATGGGATGGCACTGATTTTTCTTTTAATTGAATGTGTATATTGGAAGCTACTAGATGTCGGTAATTTAACCATAAACAATATAAGAAAAAATTATAAAAAAAAGAAAATTGTAATAGTTGTGAAGAAATCATTTAGCTGACATAAATAATGTGCATAATGGCAACTGTTACATTTTTGCATTTGTGCTTAAACATGATTGTCTACTGTGTCGTCTTTGCCACAGTTCACTTTTGACATTCAGTTGATTTTATCTTCATCTTTTCTTTTAAAAATACTTAATATATTTTGAAGACAGAGACATAGCTGTCCCATCTGCTGGTTCACTCCCTAGATGTCAACAAGGACTGGGCCTCAGCTGAAACTGGGAGCTGAGAGCTCACTCTAGGTCTCCACTCTGGTGGCAGGAACCCAACTGTAGGAGCCATCACCTGCTGCCAGTAATTGCTGTCTTTTTTTTTTTTTTTTTTAAAGGAGAGGCAGAGAGAGAGGTCTTCATCTGTTAGTTCACTCCCCAATTGGCCACAGTGGCCAGAGCTGCGCAGATCGGAAGCCAGGAGCCAAGAACTTCCTCTGGGTCTCCCACGTGGGTGCAGGGACTCAGACTTGGGCCATCTTCTACTGCTTTCCCAGGCCATAGCAGAGAGCTGGATTGGAAGTGGAGTGGCTGGGTCTTGAGCTGGTGCCCTCATGGGAGCCCAGTGCCGCAGGCAGCGGCCTCACCCACTGTGCCACAGCGCTGGCCCTAATTGCTGTCACTAATGGGAAACTGGAATTAGGAGTCAGAGCCTGGTGTCTGATAGGGGATGCAGGCGTCTCAGCTCCTAGGCTGAATGTCTGCTCTTCAAGAGCCCTTGCCTTAAGTTACAAGATATTCCTGATTTCATTTCCCTCTGGCAAACTAAAGACAAACAAAACCACCACTAGCCAAAACTCAAGTAAATGTTGCACGAGAAGAGAATGAAAATTCTGTTTTCTGTCCCACAAGCCCATGAGGGATGTGCTATTGCTCTTCTCATCATGTGGACCGGGAGAGGAAGAACTGGGTTACACATAGCTGATAGGTGCAGGGCTGCGGTTTTCCCCCTCACATTCAGAAGTGGATTCTGATTCTCTGCTCTGGAGGTAGAGTTTACATTTATTGAAGAAGGTGACTCTCAGCTCTGCTCGTTGTTGGTTTCCAGCTTTCAAAGTTTATATTGCTGTGTTTCCTTTTCTGTGCTTTTGAGGATGTATGCCTTCTAAGTATCTTTGCTGTGGCCGGCGCTGTGGCGCAGTGGGTTAATGCCCTGGCCATATGGGCACCGGTTTGAGACCTGGCTGCTCCACTTCCTGTCCAGCTCTCTGCTATGGCCTGGGAAAGCAGTGGAAGATGGTCCAAGTCCTCGGGCCCCTGCACCCATGTAGGAGACCTGGAAGAAGCTCCTGGATCCTGACTTCAGATTGTTGCAGCTCCAGCCGTTGCAGCCAATTGGGGAGTGAACCATCAGATGGAAGACCTCTCTCTCTGTCTGCCTCTTTTCTCTGTGTAACTCTGACTTTCAAATAAATTTTTTTTTTTTTTTGACAGGCAGAGTGGACAGTGAGAGAGAGAGAGAGACAGAGAGAAAGGTCTTCCTTTGCCATTGGTTCACCCTCCAATGGCTGCCACAGCTTGTGCGTTGCGGCCGGCGCACCGTGCTGATCCGATGGCAGGAGCCAGGTGCTTCTCCTGGTCTCCCATGGGGTGCGGGGCCCAAGTACTTGGGCCATCCTCCACTGCACTCCCTGGTCACAGCAGAGAGCTGGCCTGGAAGAGGGGCAACCGGGACACAATCCAGCGCCCCGACCAGGACTAGAACCCAGTGTGCCAGCACTGCAAGGCGGAGGATTAGCCTAGTGAGCCGTGGCGCCAGCTAAATAAATAAATCTTTAAACAAATAAAGTATCTTTACTGTCATTTCAGTGGATTTTTAGGAGGAAATGAAATTAGATGAGAATGTGCAATCTGTCATCTTCATCTGGAGGAAGATACAGAGATCTTCCATCTGCCAGTTTACCCCCCAAATAGCTGCAGAGGCTGGGGCTGTGCCCTGCCAAAGCCAAGAGCCAGGAGCTTTTCTGGGTCTCCTACGTAAGTGTAGGGGCCCATGCGCTTGGGCCATCGGCAGCTGCTTTCCCAGGCACATTAGCAGGGAGCTGGATTGAAAGTGGAGCAGCTGAGACTTGAACTGGTGCCCACATGGGATGCCTACATTGCAGGTGGCAGTTTAACCTGCTGTGCCACAATGCTGACCCCAGTTCAGTATTCTTAAATTGCATTTTTCTTGGAAATTAAACATTAATCTGAGTTTTCAAATTTTAAGGATATACTGCTCTCCGTTGTACTCCAACTTGTACTTTTTTTGTTTGCTGTTTGTATCTTACCTTTTCCCTTTAATATTTTGGCATTAAGTCTTTTCAATGAATCTGCTTTTAATTCTTCTGTTACTACTTTTTTTTTTTTTTAAAGATTTATTTATTTAATCGAAAAAGCAGGGTGAGAGAGAGAGAAGAGGGGGAGGGCGGAAGAGGTCTTTTATCTGCTTGTCCACTCCCCACATGATTGCAGCGGCTGGAGCTGGGCCTGTCCGAAGCCAGGAGCCAGTTCCAGGTCTTCCACGTGGGTGCAGGAGCCCAAGTATTCGGGCTCTCAGCTGCTTTCCCAGGATTATTAGCAGGGAGCTGGGACTCGAACTGCTGCTCGTTTGAGATGCTGGTGCTGCAGTGGTCACCCTACCTGGGGCGCCACAGTGGTGGCCCCACTACTTTTTTTTCCCTGCTCTCACCTTTTTCCTACGTCTGCGTTTAGTCCTTAATTCATTAATTTTTCCACTTTTCTTAATTTCTAACATGAGCTTGCTCTTCAGTAGCATCCCTGCTTCTGGGAATCTTACAAGATGCCTGCATTTCAACCTGCATGTGAGCGTGCTCACTCCAGAATTGTTTACAATGGTGAAGATAGAGTTGAGTGCAGCAAACAGTCCGGTAACTTTGTTATAGTCATCTACTGTCAAACTACATAGTGCTGGGGCTGGCATTCTATATGGGTGCCAATTTGAGTGCCGACTGCTCCACTTCCTATCCAGCTCTCTGCTAATGGATGGCCTGGAAAAGCAGTGGAAGAAGGCCCAAGGATTTGGGTACCCACGGGAGACCTGGAAAGAAGCTCCTGGTTTCAGAAGGGCTCAGCTTTGGCCATTGGGGAGTGAACGAGGGATGGAAGAGCTCTCTCTTTGTCTCTCCCTCCCTATGTGTAACTCTGCCTAAAGAGAGACTGAGAGAGACAGAGTGCTCCGATCTGCTGGTTCAATCACCGAATGGCTGCAAGGGTCAGCACTGGGCCAGGGCTGCACCAAATGCCTGACCCCAGAGAAACTATTTGTAATTATGTAGTTTGAAAGATGTGTAATACCACATTAGGATTATTATGAAAAACATAAGGGCATATGGGTAAGAATTAAACAGGAACATACAAATTGTTTATCACTTAAAAGTTACTTTGTTTCCTGTCAATGTCAATTTATTGTTTTGGTGCCCTGAGAGGGAAGCTTCATTTGTCTGCACAGTGAACTTACATAGCTTACTTCTGAAGTCACATAAGTGTGGGCTGTTATACCTTAGAAGAAATCAGAGTAGATAGAGAGGATAGAATGGCTTATGGTAACCTCCTTGTCTGGAATGGGAAGGTAAACCTGGAAAGCAAGCCCGGCCATGACTCCTTCCCCGCGTTGCTGTGGGCTCTGCTTTGTGTGGCGTTAGTTAAACTCAGGGCAGCGTCGTTCACCACTGAGCTGAACTGTACTTACTGCAGGTGCTGTGTGGAGACGCGGGAGAAGACGCAGAGTGCCACGCGGCCAAACTGCTGGAAGTCATCATTCTGCAATGCAAAGGAAGGGGAATTGATCAGGTGACCCCTGTGTGGGAGCGGCTCGTTTAAAATGCGCATGCCCCGTTGGCATTCTGCTTCTGTTAGATTTGGGAAACTAAAAAGTAGCCTGCAGTGTGTGCTTGTCGGTGCAAACTTCATTTAAATGACAGTAAGAAAAGGCAAGCATTTCGAACCCTGAGCTTGCATTTCAGCTTAGAAAGGCATGCACAGGAAGTATGTAATAATTTAAGAAGCTATCAATAAAATTACAAGTAAATATGTCAGTTCTACTCAGAGCCCCAGTGATTTGCACTTCGCTTTGTTTTTGTGCTGTTGACATATTCCCAGATTTGTTTTCCAGCCAGAAACAGATACTACGAAGAAAAGGTTTCTCTAGACAATTTTAAGTGTCCATTTCTACATCATAATTTTTAGATGGTGTTAACTTGTAAATTCTCAAGATTAATTCAGTTCTTGATACTACTGTGGTGTGATCAATTACTTAGAAAAAATCTTGAAGCAATCGAGTGAAATTGTGAATTTTACTTTTTCTTTCAGTTTTGTATTATTTTCCCATGCGGCTTTTGTAATAGCTTTAATGAAATGGGTTGCAAACCATACATTTCATTGATTTAAAGAGTACTCTGAAGTGGTTCTTGCTAGATTTTAGGATTTTCATGTTTGAAGATGAGGAGGTGGCTTTATTTTATGGAGGACAGGTTGACGGGGTAGAGAGTGGGGGTTGAGCCTGCGCAGAGAGAGGGCAGGGGGTTTGAAGCAGGCTTCGTGACGTCGGAGCTGCTTGGAGGAGGAGGCGCAGAGCACTGTGTGGACCCTGATGAGCTGGGTGGGGGTTTGCAGAGAGTCCTCAGTGAGGTTCACCGTGCACCATCTTGGCAGTTTGGAATGTCCCAGGTGCAGGGCTGTCCAGAGCAGTACACATCTCACCAGCCTCGAGGTTAGCTTTCTGTGCCCAGCTTTGGTGGGCTTGGTGGTTCAGGCCCCAAAACCTAATGGGGTCTGTCAGGCCTCCATGGCCTTAGAGGTTCTAACAGTTCTTAGGGTATTCGCAAGATTGTGTAACGTACCACCCTTATAGAACATTTCTTCTCTGTAGATGTGCCTACTCTGGACATCGCCTATTGGTGAAGCACGTGGGCTTTGTGTCTGGCTTTCTCACTTCCAAGTGTTATTGTGTATTGATAATTTATTTTCTCGATCGCTGAATACTCTTCCATCGTATGGATAGAACACATTCATCTGTTTCTCCATTGTTGGACATTTGGGTTGGTCCCACTCTTTGGCTTTGTCAATGAAGCTGTTAGGAGTATTTGTGTACAGGTCTTTGCATGCACATGTTTTCGTTTGGTAGGCCTGGAATTTTTGAGTCACTTGATAATTTTGCTGAATCATTTTAGGAACTGTATGTACGCAGTGGCTGCACTCTGGTCAGCTCCTGCTGGAAGTCAATGAGGGTTTCAGCGTCGCCATGTCTTCAGCCACGCTGGGGTTGTGTTTTGTTTCGGCCTCCTGGTAGGTGTGGAGTGGTGCCTCCTTGTGGTTCTTACTTGCATTTCTCTCATGGCCGTTACGTTAAGCATAGTTAAATGTTATTTAATTTGTGGGGGAAGAAAGACTGAGACAGACGGTGCTCCCTCATTTGCGGGTTCCCTCCCCAGATGTCAGCAGTGAGAGAGGAATATGTACTGGGTATTCCATGTGGACGGCAGGAACCCAGCGTCTGCCTGCAGTCAGGACACGGAGCCGGGAATCAGACTGAGGCTCTGCGATGGGGACACGGATGTCGGAACCTCTGGTTTGCGCCTTGGCTGCCATCGCTAATTTTAGTTGTATTGTTCGTCTATGCATTAGAGTATTTGGTGTTCATTGTGTATTCTAGATTGAACTCTGTTATCAGATATGACTTGTGAAATTTTCTCCCAATTGGTGGGCTGTCTGTTCACTTTGGTGGTGTCTTTTGAAACTCAAAAGTTCTTTTTTTTTTTTTTTTTTTTTTTTTTTTTTTTTTTTTTTAATAGAGAGAGAGGTTTTCTATCTGCTGTCTGCTGGTTCACTGCCCAATAGGCCGCAGCTGCCTGAGCTGTGCCGATCCGAAGCCAGAAGCCAGAAGCTTCTTCCAGGTCTCCAAGGGTGCAGGGGCCCAAGCACTTGGCATCTTCTGCTGCTTTCCCAGGCCACAGCAGAGAGCTGGATTGGAAGTAGAGCAGCTGGACCTTGAACCTGAACCCATATGGGATGCCAGCGCCTCAGGGCAGGGCGTTAACCTGCTGTACCACAGCTTTATAGTTTGAGTTTGTGTATTTGGAATGTGGATAGAGTCCAGATGCATTTTCTGCGTCTGGATAGTGCATTGCTTCAATGACATTTGCTGGAAAGACTGGGCACTCTGTCAAGTACTTGACTACAAATTTGAGAGTTTCTTTTTCTTTTTATTCTGTTTTCTCATTCTACTTGCTTCACTTAATTTCTTTGCTATGCTGTCTTTATTACTGTTGCTTTGTAGTTAGTTTTGGAATTAGCAAGTCTGAGTCCTTCAACTTTGTTCTTTTGAAAGATAGTTTAGGCTTTTCAAGTTTCCTTGAATTTCCATATGAATGTTAACATCAGCCTGCCTGCTTTAGTAAAGAAGCCAGGCTGGGATTTGATAGACATAGTGCTGGCCCTGTGCTATGTATTCTTAGCTTGCATCCTTGCTTTTTATTTATTATTATTTATATTGTATGCATTATTTTATAATTATTCCTTTTTGTAAATGTATTCATTAAATTTTTCAAAAAAATTTTGAAAGGTAAACAGGCGGGGTCACTCCCTAAACACCTGCAATGGTGTGGCTGGGCCAGGTCGGAGCCAGGAGCCAGGAGCCTGGAACTCAGTCCAGATCTCCCTCCTGGGTGGCATGGATTCAGTTACTTGAGCCATCACCTTCTGCTTCCCGGTGTGCACCATAGCATGGCGCTGGAATTGGAAGTAGAAGGGAAACTTGAGTACAGGCACTCCAATATGGGTTGTGGGTATCTGAATGGTGTCTTGACCCCTGCTCCTCCTTGTCTTAATTTTATATCTGTTAAAGAAAGAAGCTGAGAAAAGGAGAAGTGACCAAGTACATACGTTTTGGGAGGGTGTTTTTTTTTTTTTTTAATATTCTAAGTTACTGTTTCTGGTTCTTGTCATTTGTCCCTGAGGATCCTGGTTGCCATCTGGTATCTTCTCCTTACTTCAGTACAACCTTGTTTGATATTGTTAATGTCAAGTATGTCATATTTCTATGTGTATATTTTTAAGATTTATTTTTTATTTGAAAAGAAGATGGGGGTAGAGATAGATCTTCTATTCATTGGTTTACTTTCCAAATGGCTACAATGACCGGGTCTGGGCCAGACCAAAGCCATGAGCCTGAAGCTTCTTCTGGGTCTCCCATGTGGGTGCGGAGGCCCAAACACTTGGGCCATCCTCCACTGCACTCCCGGGCCACAGCAGAGAGCTGGCCTGGAAGAGGAGCGACCGGGACTAGAACCCGGTGTGCCGGCGCCGCTAGGTGGAGGGTTAGCCTATTAAGCCACGGCGCTGGCCCTTATTTTGCCTTTTTTTAAAAGATTTATTTATTTATTTTCAAAGACCGACATATAGACACAGAGCTTCCATTCACTAGTTTACTCCCAAGATAGCCACAGTGGTCAGCACTGGGCCAGGCCCAGCCATGAGCCTCATCCAGGTCTCCCATGTGGGTGGCAAGGCCCCAACATTTGGGCCATCTTCCACTGCTTTTCCCAGGACATTGGCAGGGAGCTGGATTGGAATAGGAGCTGCTGGGATACAAACTGATGCCCATAGGGGATGCTGGTGTCACAGGCCGTGGCTTTACCCACTTTGCCACAACACCCGCTCGTAGCCTTCATTTTCGAAAGATAACTTTGGATTTTCGGTTTGTAGTTGTTTTTCCCCAGCACATCTTATGCACATACCATCTCATCACTTCCTGGTGTTTCTGATACAAAACGATTAGTAACTTCACTGAGATTCTCTGGTTTGTTATAATGATGTATGTTTTTCTCTTTTGTCAAGATTTTTTTCTTTTTCACCATTTTTACTATAAGTCTCTGAATATCTTTGCATTGATGCTTAGAGTTTGTGAACCTCTTGGATGTGTGGGTTATTGTCACATTTTGGAAATTTTCTTTTATAATTTTTTTGACAGAGTTAGACAGTGAGAGAGACAGAGAGAAAGGTCTTCGTTTTTCCGTTGGTTCACCCCCCAAATGGCCACCATGGTTGGCGCTATGCCGATCCAAAGCCAGGACCCAGGTGGTTCCTCCTGGTCTCCCATGGAGGTGCAGGGCCCAAGCACTTGGGCCATCCTCCACTGCACTCCCGGGCCACAGCAGAGAGCTGGACTGGAAGAGGAGCAGCCGGGACTAGAACCGGTGCCCATATGGGATGCTGGCGCCGCAGGTGGAGGATTAACCAAGTGAGCCACAGCGCCGGCCCCCCAAAATTGTTTTTTAAAAAATATTTTCAACTATTGTGCGTGTGCACATGCAAATTGTTGACATCTTTACTTGGTGTAGAGCTCGTCTTCTGTGTATAAAGTTAATTGAAAATGAATCGTAATGGAGAATGGGACAGGGATTGGGAGAGAGGAGGAAGTGGAATGGGAGTGGGGGCGGGAGGATGGGTATAGTGGGAAGAATCACTAAAGTTATACTTAGGAAATTTGTACTCATTAAATAAAAGGTTTCTTTGGGAAAAAAATAAAAGCCATACACACACACACACACACACACACACCCCTAAATGAAATCATTTAGATAGCCACATAATACAAAAAATTAAAATGTATGTGTCCTTATTGGCATTTTGAGGTGCTGTCATTATGACTTTGTTTAGTTTAGAAACGGTTTCCTTTATTTGTAAAATTCTCCATAGTGGTGGATTTGAAGTGTTCACAGTCTGTCGTGGAGGTTTGTCCCAGCCCCAGGAGGGTTACTGTTGGTGCCTGCCTTCCTTAGCAGGATGACCTGCTGGCCTGGCTTGTTGCTGTTTATAGAGGAACTACCAGCATCTTCTGAGTTGCCTAACAGCAAAATCCCAGTATTTTCATTATTCTGTGCAGTTTAGAATCTGGAGATGAACACACAGCCAACATGCAGCCACATAATTCAATTTCAAAGTCTTTAAAATCATTTCTGTTTGGTTGATTCATTTATTTCTTGGCATCTTAATTTTTAGGGGTTGCTTAAAATGTATCTCCTGAAACAAGTATATTCCGGGAAATGGAGCTTCCGGCCTCCCCTGGGCCCCTGCTCTCCTCCCGCATTGTCCCCGCAGTTTCGGGTCCCTCAGTTCAGCACGTACATCACTGCGGGCGCATGAGGCAGATGCTGCACATTGGGATGGGGGGAGAGTGCGTGATCCTCCTCTCACTACCTAGGGCTCTCTGTAGACCCCTGTAGTTTGTTTATCCAGCCAGTCCCTGTAATCGATTTTGTGTTCATAGACTGTGAAGAGATACTTTTAGTTGTACTTGTTTGAAAACTTGTCTGTATTCTTAATGGCTTGGCATAGAAGAGTGTAGATTTGTTAAAATCAAACTTTCTCAGAGCTCCTCAGACTCAGTTTACATTTTCTTGAGCTTTATTGATCTGTCAGTCACTATCTGATGATGGTGGTTGCGAATGTTGCTTATTTCATGCGTGTTGTGCTTTGAAATCAGAACACAGAATACCCCGGGTAAGAATCAGACAAAATCCATAGTTAGAGTTGGAGTCAGATGATCTTAGTTGCCTGTGAAGGGTCCATCACATTTTTCTCAATTCTTTTTCATTTTTCATGTAAGTCAACAGGAATTGGTCCTAGGAGACTTTCTGATGACATCACACTTATTGTAGTCCCATTCATTTGCGGTTTGATTTGTCAAAGAAAAATCCCACCCCCATCATGGTACCTTAACCATGAAAGTGGCTGGGTCCAGGTCGGATTATTGCTGCTGTTCAAGTGTGGATTCTGTCAGGACAGTCTTGGGCTGACTCTCATCTGCACCTAGAAATAGGGAGGATGCGTCTGGCGCTGCTATGGGACTTCTTTTTGTCTATTTAACTTTGATGGGTCTTTTGAGAATGTGCGTCTTTTACGTAACTCTGAAGACGATTTACATAGTAGTCTTTGCCACCTGTGCACACCAGGTGACTGCCGTGTGGGTGGCTGACTGTCTCTCTTTTTTGCCCTGTAGTGCATTCCGCTCTTTGTCCAGCTTGTTCTGGAGAGGTTAACTCGAGGGGTCAAGACCAGCGAGCTGCGTACCATGTGTCTCCAGGTGGCAATCGCTGCCTTGTACTACAGCCCTGACTTGCTGCTGCATACTCTAGAGCGAGTGCAGCTGCCGCACAACCCGGGACCTATCACTGTACAGTTTATCAATCAGTGGATGAATGACACGGATTATTTTATTGGGTATGTGTCTTTTGGATTTTATAATGCTTCTCCGTTTCTGGGACATTTGCTTTTTAGTATATACAGTGTAATAGTGTGCGGAAAGATAATTTTCACTTCCTGGGAATGATTGTGTTTGTTACCATAATGTTCACATTGGAGAGAATGGAGAGTATGTTTCAGCAGTCTACTCTAGTGGGAAGAACGCAGGCTCTGAAATGAGGTGTGGGTCTTCCCCACTTGCTGTCGGCTGTGTATCAGTGGATACCTAGAAAACAAGAATCAAGTGTTGGTGGGGGTGCCCGGTCTGCTGTGCGGCTGCAGGGCGCACATTCTAAACAGGGTCAGGTTTCCGAGGAAGCACTCGCTGGCACAGATAGAGTGCACTGTCCCACGATGTTGAGCTCTTTGCGGGTCTCAGGGGAGCTTCTCTCGAACGTGAGGTCCAGGAGCTTCTGGCTTGATCGGAAGCGCTCTCCTCACTTTGAGACGTGGGATGAGTGCGATGCCAAGCCATGCTTATGTGCTCAGCTCAAGTCACGTAGCAGTGACTGTTAGGCTAGAGTCTGAGTTTGTTTTAAAACACTTAGTTTTCTTGCTAAGTGTCATAACACTGAGAAGAGTTTGCCCCCGGGGACATGGACTTCCTGCAGAAAGAGTTAGGATGCTGCCATGTGGGTGTGAGGGTGGTGGACTGAGTCGGGATGCAGGGCGAGGACTGGGGAACACTGGCAAGCTGCTGCATGTGTTCTGGTTTTCTGCTAGGTGGAGACTGGAGTTTGTCTTTCAGTGAGATTTGTTATTAAAGCCTTGAAGGGAAGGGTACTTTACAGAGGTAGGGGCTTTCTCTGGTGAAGACTTAGGGAGCAGAGATGTGGTCATTCAGCTGCGCAGTTGGTATGCACCAGCAGGCAGATTTTCGGAGGTGGAGAGGCCGTCTCTGAGCCGTGTGTGGACCGGACCGCTGGGACTGCATGTCCTTGGCATCCTTGGTCTGCCGCCTTTCCGAGATCCATTGCACAGCTCTGTGCCCTGCGAGTTAGGGGTGGAGCAGAAGAGAAAGACTTCAGGCCAAGTACAGTTCCTGTTAGAGCCTTCTGCTCTGGCATTGGAACTTCAACGGGGCGGGAATCCAACTCCTGAAGAGTAGTCAAGGAAGCTGTAATACAGTCATCATCGACAGTTACGCATGCTAAATGAGTTGAATCACTGCAAGTGATCTTTTGGTTCATGCCTGGAATTTTACAAGTGTTGCACCAATACACAGTAGTCTATTAACTCTTAATATTTTTGGGTTTTCAATAGCTTATAGGAAATATTCACTGGCAAACTATGACTCGTGTATACTAGCCAAACATTTTTTTCCTTCAGATAGAAATGCTCATTATCTGTTACAGCAGGGGCCTTTAATAGGCTGATTGGTGGCCACCAAGTTGAGCTCACCACGTGCTAAGCTTCTGGGTTCTCGTTGTGCGTCTTGGATTGCCAGGAAACCCGTGGACCAGTGTAACGACAGAGAAGTCTGCGGAACTCTGCACTTCCCCATCATACAGCGACTCCGCTGTCAAATACTGCATTCCTGCTTTGCTAGGACACAGAACGAGGCAGTCATGGGCTGGGTGACATAGCATTCGCTGTGTTAACTGCAGACTCCCCTGGGGCTTTGATGTTAACAATTGGGTTACAGAATCTGATTTTCTTAGGATTTTATGTGGTGCAAAATGGTTGATGGGATAACTGTGTAACTCCAGTGAATGTGGTTTCTCCAGAATTTATTTTTATTATATTTTTCAAGTCTGTTTTTTTTTTTTCCTTCAAAATTTGTAGGCATCATGACCGGAAGATGTGTATCATAGGTCTGAGTATCCTTTTGGAATTGCAAAACCGACCTCCTGCCGTGGATGCTGTGGTGGGGCAGATCATTCCCTCGATTCTTTTCCTGTTCCTTGGCCTGAAGCAGATCTGTGCCACTAGACAGCTGGTAAACCGGGAAGATCGTTCAAAAACTGAGCAAGCCGACATGGATGAAAATGGTAAAGTCTTCATTGCCGTGAGTGCTAGAGTTGGTTCTTGTTTGAGCATGTATTTTCTTTCCCTCTTTATTTTTTGTAACAAGATTTATTTATTTATGTGAGAGGTAAAGTACAGAGGGAAAGAGAGAGACAAGTCTTCCATCTGCTGGTTCACTTCACAAATGGACGCAGTGGCCAGAGGTGGGCCAGGCGGAAGTCAGGGGCCAGAAGTTTCTTCCAGGTCTTCCACATGGGTACAGCGGTCCCAGGACTTGGGCTATTTTCTGCTGCTTTCCCAGGAACATTAGCTGGAAGCTGGATCAGAAGTGGAGCAGCTGGGCATTGAACTGGTGCCCGTACAGGATGCTGGCAATGCAGACGGTGACTTAACTCCAGTGCCAGCCCCTTGGTGTGCTTCGTGACACGTGAAATGCTTCATGATTTGTTACGGCCGTTGATGGGTGGTGTTGCTCGTTGAGAAGTACATTTGTAACAGCATCGAGTGAGTGTGACTGCAGTTGCAGCGTCGCGTTGCTTTGCTGGGTCTGTGCTGCCTTAAGAAAAGCCATTAAACAAAGGGCAGAAGAGTTGGGATAGCACATTAGTGGAGTGTCTGTTTTTACCTTTATTTTTAAAGATTTATTTTATTTGAAAGGCAGAGTGACAGAGAAAGGGAGAGATAGAGATCTTCCATCTGCTGATTCAGTGTGTGTGGCCGCAGCTGGGAGCCGGGAACTCAGGTGGAGTCTCCCCTGTGGGCACAGGGCCGTTCGCTGCTGCGTGCTGGGATGTGTTGCCAGGAAGCTGGATTGCAGCCCAGGAAGGAGCAGGCAGTTGAGCTGGCGCTGTGATATGGATGCACGTGTCTGAGCAGTGGCTTAAGCCCCCTGCACCGCCGTACCTGCCCACCTCCTGAGTGGTCAAGAATATTAGAATAAGTATTATTGAATGATGAGATAATGCAGTGAATCGCTAGGCGCTCAGGAAGTAGCTTCACCCATCGTCTTCTGGTTAAAAACAGTCATGTCTTCAACTGAGAAAAGTCACAATTCCTCCCGGAAAGCATACAGTTCTGTTTTTCATGCTGAATTCTGTGATACCAACAGGTACAGGTTTAAAACACCTTCCAGTTTGTTTGAATACAAGTAATAGTAATCCATCCTTCTCCCAAAATACATCACAGCTTCTTAATTGTTCTAAATTCTATATAGGTGTTTTGAAGTAGCATATTTTTAAAATCATTTTTTATTTGACAGGAGAGAGAGGACACACAAACACATGCACACACACACACATGTGCATGCCCCACATGTTAGTGGGGGAGATAGGTGTCTCTTTCATGCTTTAATTTACAGTGCAGACGCCCACACCAGCGAGGGCTGGGCCAGACATTGAGCCAGGGGTGTGGAACACCGCCCAGCTGTGCACATGGTGACAGGAGCCCAGCCACTTGAGTTATCATCTGCTACCTTCCAGGATGTGCGTTAGCAGGAGACTGGAATTCTAAGTGGAGTAGCTGGGATTCATCCAGGCACTCCACTGTGGTTTGTGCACCCCCAGAGCTATTACTTCTTTTTGACAGGCAGAATCAGGCAGTGAGAGACAGAGAGAAAGGTCTTCCTTTGCCGTTGGTTCACCCTCCAATGGCCACCGCGGCCAGCGCGCTGCGGCCAGCGCAACACGCTGATCCGATGGCAGGAGCCAGGTGCTTATCCTGGTCTCCCATGGGGTGCAGGGCCCAAGTACTCGGGCCATCCTCCACTGCACTCCCTGGCCACAGCAGAGAGCTGGCCTGGAAGAGGGGCAACCGGGACAGAATCCGGCGCCCCGACTGGGACAAGAACCCGGTGTGCCGGTGCCGCAAGGCGGAGGATTAGCCTAGTGAGCTGTGGTGCCGGCCCAGCTATTGCTTCTTAACCAAGGGTTTTTTTTTTTTTTTTTTTGCTAAGTATATGACAACAATTATAGAATTTTTAAATTTTAAATGATTATGATTTTGTTTATTTCTTGCTTTGCTAACTAATTATTGGGTTAGATAGAACTATAATATATAATAACTATATAATATATAATAACTAGATAGAAGTTTTTTTAGTAATAACTCAAGCTTTCTTGTTGAACTTTCTGTTACACCATGGGGTGGTTAACTAGCAAAGATACTTTTGCCTTGTATTTCTTGCCTCCCTGTAAATCTTGGGTCCTGCCACTCTGGTGTGGTATGTATGGTTCCAGATGAGTAATGCTGGTTGGATTTACTCCAGGTTTTCCTCTTCTATTGATGATGGTTTGACATTTCTGCGTCTGTATTCCACCCAGTTCCAATACTGATCTACCTGCTTGGAGCAGGGCAGCGCTGAATATAGCTATGGAGTCTGCGGTGGTACACACACGTCTCTTCACCCTGCAGCTGCTTTGCTCGCTGTGTTACTGTTTCCAGCGGTGCCCTCCTCACTTAGCTGTTTCTCAGCTGTTCATCGTTGACTTAGTTGATTCTGAAGACTTGAATTGCTGGGGTCTGCGCTGTGGCGCAGCGGGTAAAGCCGCTGCCTGCAGTGCTGGAATCCTATCTGGGCGCTGGTGCGAGTCCCGGCTGCTCCACTTCCCATCCAGCTCTCTGCTGTGCCTGGGAGAGCAGTAGAAGATGGCTCAAGTCCTTGGGCCCCTGCACCTGCGTGGGAGACCTGAAAGAAGCTCCTGGCTTCAGATCAGCCCAGCTCTGGCTGTTGGGCCCATCTGGGGAGTGAACCAGTGGATGGAAGACCTCTCTCTCGCTCTCTGTCTGTAGCATTTAATTAAATAAATAAATAGACTGTGGCACCGGCATCCCATATGGGCGCCGGGTTCTAATCCTGGTTGCTCCTCTTCCAGTCCAGCTCTCTGCTGTGACCCGGGAAGGCAGTGGAGGGTGGCCCAAGTGCTTGGGCCCTGCACCCGCATGGGAGACCAGGAAGAGGCACCTGGATTCTGGCTTCGGATAGGCGCAGCGCTGGCCATAGCAGCCATTTGGGGGGTGAACCAGGGGAAGGAAGACCTTTCTGTCTCTCTCTCTCTCACTGTCTGCAACTCTACCTCTCAAATAAATAAAAAACCCACACTTGAATTGTTGATGGGAGGCCACTGTTAGGTTGGACACATGTCCTGACCTTTGTTGATGATGGGAAATGAAATTGGGAATGTGCAGTTACCAGGGAGGCCGAGGCAGCCATGGTAGGGAGCAGTGGGCAGCTGGGCCGTAGACAGGGACACTGTGTTGAGTGAGGACACAGCCGCTCTCAGTGGGCCAAATGAGGTAGGTCTTCTTACGATTTCAGCTAGAATTACGTGTTTTTTCTCATTTCCAGAATGTCTTTTGTTCCCCCCGTCATTTTCTGTCTTATCATTGTGTTCTGCTTTCTTTCCCCCAACTACTGGATCCACAGAGGAGATTTCAAGCGACGAAGAGGAGACGAACGTGGCCTCTCAGGCCGTGCAGTCGAGCAGCGGGCGAGGAGAAGACGAGGAGGAGGACGACGACGACTGGGCCGACGAGGTGCTGGAGGAGACCGCCCTCGAGGGCTTCAGCACGCCTCTGGACCTGGACAACAGTGTGGATGAATACCAGTTCTTCACCCAGGCTCTGCTCAGTAAGCCTCGACCGCCTGCACCTGCAGATGCGTGTTCTGAACTCTGCCTGTCTTCTTCCGGTCACAGGTTGTTTCGGTTTCCACCCTGAGGTTGGTCTAGACTCTTCTAAAAACGAGTCTGTTTTATGAGAGAAGTTCCCAGACAGAAGCCCAGGGAAAGGAGCCCTCGTGTGCCTTCATGGTACGGCTGCAGGCCAGGAGGCCGTCCTCGGGAATGACGTCAGGCGGAGCATCACGTGTGTTGTCCATCCTCAACGTGTACACGCGCGGGCGTTTTACAGAACAGAAAGAAGTTCAGGCTTCGGATGTTGCTTAAAAATTGCAACCATGAACCTGTTAGTGATTGACAGTGCCCGTGAGCGGGTGCCCTGTGACGCACGGGTAGCTTAGAGGACGTGGAGAATACCTGGCACCTGTGTATCGTAGGCATAAGATACACAGTAGACAAAGGCCTGCCGCCAGTGAGCAAGACCAGTAACCCCGTGCGTAGAAATAGGAGACAGGAATAGAAAATGCAAAGAAAAGGCAGTAAATCAATGAAAATACTTTAAAAAATTATTGCAACTTTAAGATTTGGAGTCTGTTTTTTAAAAATTGACTTTTTTTTTGTTTAGTAGAAAATGCAGAGCAATAGAGAGAGACAGACAGAGACAGAGACAGACAGAGACAGAGACAGACAGAGACAGAGACAGACAGAGACAGAGACAGAGACAGACAGAGACAGAGACAGACAGAGACAGAGACAGACAGAGACAGACAGAGACAGACAGAGACAGAGACAGACAGAGACAGAGACAGAGACAGACAGAGACAGAGACAGACAGAGAGACAGAGACAGAGACAGAGACAGAGACAGACAGAGAGACAGAGACAGACAGAGAGACAGAGACAGACAGAGAGACAGACAGAGACAGACAGAGAGACAGAGACAGACAGAGAGACAGACAGAGAGACAGAGAGACAGAGAGACAGAGGGACAGAGAGACAGACAGAGGGACAGAGAGGGACAGAGAGGGACAGAGGGACAGAGAGGGACAGAGACAGAGGGAGACAGAGGGAGACAGAGGGAGACAGAGGGAGACAGAGGGAGACAGAGGGAGACAGAGGGAGACAGAGGGAGACGGAGACAGAGGGAGACGGAGACAGAGGGAGACGGAGACAGAGGGAGACGGAGACAGAGGGAGACGGAGACAGAGGGAGACGGAGACAGAGGGAGACGGAGACAGAGGGAGACGGAGACAGAGGGAGACGGAGACAGACGGAGACGGAGACAGACGGAGACAGACGGAGACGGAGACAGACGGAGACAGGCAGAGGGAGGGAGGCGGAGACAGGGAGGCGGAGGGAGGGAGAGGGAGAGGGAGAGGGAGACGGACGGAGGGAGACGGACGGAGGGAGACGGACGGAGGGAGAGGGAGAGGGAGACGGACGGAGGGAGAGGGAGGGAGAGGGGGAGACGGACGGACGGAGGGGAGGGAGAGGGGAGACGGACGGAGGGGGAGGAGAGGGGGAGACGGACGGACGGAGGGGGAGGGAGAGGGGGGAGACGGAGGGACGGAGGGGGAGGGAGGGGGGAGACGGAGGGACGGAGGGGGGGAGGGAGAGGGGGAGACGGAGGGACGGAGGGGGAGGGAGGGGGGAGACGGACGGACGGAGGGGGAGGGAGAGGGGGAGACGGACGGACGGAGGGGGAGGGAGAGGGGGAGACGGACGGATGGAGGGGGAGGGAGAGGGGGAGACGGAGAGAGGGAGATTGATCTTCCATCCACTAGTTCACTTCTGCAAATGCCCACACCGCCAGGGCTGGGCTAGACTACAGCCAGGAGGCAGGTACTCCATCCAGGTCTCCCACATGGGTGGTAGGGACACAGACACTTGAGCCGTTACCTGCTGTTCACCAGGTACAGCAGCAGGAAGCTGACCTGGAAGTGGAGGTAGCGCTGATCCCAAGTACTCCAAGATGTGACCTGGGTATCCCAAGTGGCTGCTTAACCTGCAGGCCCTGGAAAATTGTTACTAGATGAATCCTGTTACCTTCACTTTTTGTGTGCTCACATAGTGTTTATTTACAGTTATACCATGACTTACAGAACATTGAGGGTTACTTCCTATTTTTTGCCATTAGAAGTGTATTAACACGGACCCCTTGGTGTATAAAATACTGTTACCAACAAGGCAGTACCAGCATAATGGCACTGCTTAGTGTTGGAAAAATACCATTAATGAAGACAAACACCACATGCTGTGCTGAACTGTAGCAGGGACAGGCAGAGGGGGCAGCATGCAGGCAATGAAAGCCCAGTAAGGGCATGGGGGGAGCTGTCCCCAGGCTGGGCGGGTGGGAGATCGCAGGTGCTTGGAGTTGCCCCGGGGCGCCGGTTTCCAGAGCTGGCTGTGCAGCAGACTCGGCGAGCAAGCCTGCAGGTCTGGCTGGGCCTCGGGTACGCGCAGTGTTGAAGAAGCGCTCCTCCCTCGCCTGGCTGCTGGTGGCTCCGTCGGTTAAGCTGCTGCCTGTGATGCTGGCATCCCGGAAAGGAGCGCTGGTCTGACTCCGGGCCGCTCCCGGGAGGCAGTGGAAGTCGGCCGGGTACCTCCCCCCAGCCTCCCATGTGTGAGACCCGGGTGGAGTTCAGGCTTCAGCCTGCCTGGCCCGGACCTGGCTGTTGGACCATTTAGAGCGTCCCAGTGAATGGGGCATCTCCCTCCCTCTCTCTCTCTTTGTCCTCTGTCTTTAAAATAAATCAAGAAATCTTAAAAGTCCTCAAGTAATAGTTAGGCTGCTAGCTTTGGACCAGCCCATAGGGCTGCTCCTTACAATTTCTGCAAAGAAATAAATAGGGCTGGGTTGCAGCAGCCTTGAGTTCTGTCCTGAGGTGGTCTGTTCCCACTGCCGAGAGGGTTGCTGGATGGTTTTCTGTGCGGACTTGACCCCGCAGATGTGGTGGCGTGTACTCCGGGTAAGTTAGGAGATCTGAGTGGGACTGGCTGTGGGAGCCAGGCCTTACACGATGAGTGCATTCACGCAGAAGCAACAGGGCGCTGATAGTGGGAGGATGACGCTTGAGAGAGAGGAGCCCAGAGGCCAAGGTCATGAAGACAGCAGCTCGTGATGGGGTGTGGAGAGGGCAAGGTCAAGGACGTTAGGGTTACAGTGGTTGCCTGGGGGACAAACAGACCTCATCATGGGCCTGGGGAGACGAAAGGGGCTTGGGAGGAAAATGCGAAATTTGGTTTAGTTGAGCCGAGTTTGATGGAAGTGAGCTATTTAACTGGAAAAATCCAGAGGCCTGGGGGAAGCTTTGCCTGAAGGTACAGATTCAGTGCTTGGTATAGGAGCAGTGTTTGAAGTTAGGTAAGATGAAAATCCCCCAGGAAGTTGTTCTGTTCCAGCTGAGTACAGGTAAAAACCTCGGGAAGAAGTTAGAACCGGGCCTACCAGAGATGAGCCTGTACGCCCACACAGCTGAGGACCCGTGGGCCTTGGCACCTTGTCTCTCACTGTCTGAGACCACCCCACTGCGATTGGGTCAGCCACTAGTTCTCTGGACGCGCAGTGTTCACTGGCCTCTCTCCCCTCTCCCTCCTCCTCCTGCACGCCCCTGAAACGCCCCAGCTGTGCAGAGTCGGGACGCTGCGTGGTACCAGCTGCTGACGGCGCCGCTCAGCGAGGACCAGAGGCGAGCGCTGCAGGAGGTGTACACGCTGGCGGAGCACCGGCGGACGGTGGCAGGTGGGTGCGTGGGCACCGTGCCGGGAGCCAGCCTTGTGTGATGAGCCACACGGCACCTAAATACTTCGACAGCTGTTGGAGGCCAGCCCTCCGTGGTGTGAGAACGGCTTTTAGCGTACGATAGCTGTGACGAGTCCCTCTAGGCCGAAACGTGTGCGTCTGGGTTTCCTGGTGAATGAGGCTTCACGTCCTCGGCCCGGGTTGAGCCAGAGGTGGGGAGTGAGTGACATCCCGTGCCCTGCCGCAGATGCCAAGGCCCCCCAGGCCCGCCAGGAGCCTGTGTTCCTGGAGCTGAGGCTAGGTCTGTGGGCTTCCTGCTGCTGGCCAGTTTGGAAGCTGGCAGAAATACTGAATGGTTTTTTTTGACAGGCAGAGTGTACAGTGAGAGAGAGACAGAGAGAAAGGTCTTCCTTTTGCCGTTGGTTCACCCTCCAATGGCCGCCACGGCTGGCGCGCTGCGGCCGGCGCACCGCGCTGATCCGAAGGCAGGAGCCAGGTGCTTCTCCTGGTCTCCCATGGGGTGCAGGGCCCAAGCACTTGGGCCATCCTCCACTGCACTCCCTGGTCACAGCAGAGAGCTGGCCTGGAAGAGGGGCAACCGGGACAGAATCTGGCGCCCCGACCGGGACTAGAACCCGGTGTGCCGGCGCTGCAAGGCGGAGGATTAGCCTAGTGAGCCGCGGCGCCGGCTTAGAAATACTGAATGTTGATCGTGGTCGCTCCTCAGTTACCAGTGGGAAAGACTCTGGGACTGCTGAAATCTCTGAGTAGGAAACACGGTGGGCCCGGCAGCTGGAGCTGCAGCTCCGTGCCTTCTGCCAGCCTGGTTTCCAGCACGCACGGCTCCGTGCCAGCCCCTCGCGGGAGTCCTCGGCTCTTGGGGCAGTGGGGACCGTGAAGCTGCCTTGGGGACTTGGTGCCATTCGCCCACTCCCTGAACCCGACGTTCACTTGGGAGGAGTAAGCCGTGCGGCGAGGCCCACTCCTCCCTGTACGCAGTGCACGGAGGCCCAGCTCTGGGTGTATTTCTGACTTGGTCGCCTTATCTGCTTCTCTTTCTCTCCTTCTTTCTTTTGGACGATGCTAGAGGCGAAGAAGAAGATTGAACAGCAGGGAGGCTTCACGTTCGAAAGCAAAGGAGTCCTCTCCGCGTTCAACTTCAGCGCCGTGCCCAGCAGCCACTGAAGGAGCAGGCGCGCCGGGTGTGAGTGCTGAGGGCAGGAGCGCGGGCTCCCTGGAGGGCCCCTCCTGCCGGACCAGCCGGCTGCTGGCTCTGGGCAGCAGCACTTGGCCCCGCTCGGACCTCTCTCCCCCTGAGGTCTGCCTCCTGAGCGGCTACTGTCATGTGTGAGGTCCGGCACGGCGGCTGGGTTGAACAGGACGGACCGTGAGCCCGCAAGGCTGCGCGCCCGGGCGTCGGCTCGCCCGTCTCAGGTTCTGCCCGTGCAGGCTCAGTGGTTTTACGCGGATAACAGTGCCTTCTGTTGTACATGAATTACCACACACAAATTTTTTTTGGTGTGCATTGCCATTTTTTTTTAAAAACATCTTTCTAGATACAATGCAAACTTTGGTCAAATGTCAACTTGTTCTGCGTTGGACTCTGAATTTAGGCATCAGCTGCAAGTCACTCTGGTTTCTAAGACATCACTGCTCCCTGAGCTCGGCCTGCTGGGGGCTCGCTTCAGGGGTGCAACACAGGCACTGGCTCTGGGGTTTCAGATGTGTTGTGGCTTTTTAACAAGTGTCTTATTCCCTCCCCCAGTCACGTTTTCTGCCTTGAAGATTGCTTTGGGGTCAGTATTATGCATATCAGTTCCACCCACAACCTGGTAAGTGCAGGACTCGGCAGCCCGTGAGTCCCTGGGGTTCACTGTGCCTCCAGGTGGATTCTGAGTCATGGACTTCATTATGCAATGGGTCGCTGATCTTCGCTAAAGCACACTGAACTCTGGGAGACGTGTGCTACCTGAGAAGCACCTGTCTCTGGGTGGCAGCTTGTGTCTTTAACTCACCATTCCAGCTGTGGCGGACCAGGGTCCAAAGCATTTTATAATGATTTTATCTAGCAAAAAACCCAAGCAAATCTGACTTGGGATGTTCGCACCCGGGAGTGTTTCCTCCCACCTAGTGGGTTTCAGTGTTGACTGTAGTGCAGTTCTCGGGGGGGCGTGCCAGTCCGCTGCACTCTGAGACGGCACTGCTGTGGGACAGCCTGGGGGAGGTGCTGCAGCTGCTTCAGGCCCAGACCTGGGCTGCCGCCCGTTCACCCCTCAGGGTGACGAGTCTCTCGGCGCACAGCCTCCTGCTGGCTGTGGCGCAGCTTGTCCGTGTCTGTAAGGCCTGCAGCTTCAGTTTCCCATCCGTGGCTGGAGGAATTTTTTTCCCAGGTGCATCCCTCAGTTAACTCTCCTAGAAGGCCGTGAGTCTCAGAGGGAATCGACCCCCTGCCCTCCAAGGCACTGGAGCTGCATGTGGGTGGGAGAGAGCCGGGCGGTGGGCGTTGTAGAGAGCTGGGGAGCTCTGTGCTCCGGCTGGGTCCCGTGCGGCTTAGTTTTCACACGAGTCTTACGCCTTCACACTGGAGTCTGAAGCGCAGAGGCCTGCGGTTTTATTCTGTGGTGTGCTGTCTTCTGCAGTTAGAGGGGAGGAAGTGCAGGTGCAGCACGCGCTCTTGCTGCGGAAGCCAGGGGAGTGTGGGACTCTTACCAGCAGTGCTAACCTGAATGTGACCTGGTCCCCTTGCAAATGCAGGAACTCACATGAATGTACTGTACAATAAAGTGCGGGCTGATTCCCCGGATCCTGAGCCTTCGTGTGATGTGTTTCTCTGAAGCTGTGCGTTCCTGAGCTCCCGGGACCCGAGCGACGTGGCCGTGGGTCCGGGAGGGCCCCAGGCTCGTCAGGCGGGGCTCCGTGTCGGGGAGCGCTCGGGGCCGGAGCCCCCTCCTAACCAGGGTGTCCAGAGCAGAGTGGTGGAAGCTCTGTGTAGCACAGCTCACGGAACTGTACCAGGAGCTCTGAGCACCGGACAGGCGGTCTCTGTCCCCATCCCTGTTAGGTGAAGACCACACTGCACCAGTCCTTTGTTAATCCGTGCAAATCCCCAAGGTAGAAAACAGGTGCTTAAAATTGTCACGTCAGTAATACAGTGAATCAGAACAGAGCTTTGTGTTGGCCAGAGGAAGGGGAGCTTGGCCACGTCTTGAGGACCCTCTGTGTGCGTGTGTGTGTTGTGTGTCCACGTGGTTCATCTGTCCACTGAGACGGGGGCACTGTGCAGACTTCGGTGGGTTGGGAACTCTTTGGGCGGTCTGCTAGCGGGCAAGGCTTCAGGATCAATGAACAAAGGCTGGGCTGCACCTGAGGAAGAAGCAGAACCAGGGCACGCAGGCCTGGTCCCATGGCACACAGAGAGGCACATGAGCCCCAGGAAATGTGTGCCTGGGCGGCAGGAGCGGTGCGCAGGCTCCCTTCAGGGACCGGGGAGGAAGCTCCCCTTGGAGGTCGCCCCGCAGGTGGATGCGTGCCTCTCGGGTCTTGGGAGTGGAGGCTTTCGTATGCAGAGGTGGACAGCGACTCTGGCAGGACTGACCCTGTGCAGACTCCCCACACCCCACCCCAATCCCTGTGTGAAGGGGAAACCTTGGGAAGGTGGGTACCATACGTGAGGCCCAGTGTCCGGCACACAGCTCTCAGGAGTTCACCGTGGTCCCTCCACTCCTGTCCAGTGAGTGACTAAGTGACCTGCAGGTTCTCTTCCTGGCCAGACATTCTCGGCACTCCCTGTCCTGGATCTGACCCCTGTATTTCCATGGTCTGACTTCGCTGGAGTTGGCTTTACGCACACATACTAATGAATGAGAATCCTTTCCTTCCCATAGCACCTGTGTTTGGTCTGCCCTTGAATCGCTCACATGATTGCTTTAGTAACTCTGGGAGTTACCGAGAGGCAGAGAGAGATTCACTCCCCAGAAGGCCAGAACAGCCGGAGCTGTGCCGATCCGAAGTCAGGAGCCAGGAGCTTCTTGTAGGACTTCCTATGCAGGTGTCAGGGCACAAAGACTTGGGCCATCTTCCATTGCTTTCCCAGGCCATAGCAGAGAGCTGGATGGGAAGTGGAGCAGCTGGGACTTGAACTGGTGCCCATATGAGATGCTGGCACTGCAGGCGGTGGCTGTACCTGCCACACCACAGCGCCGTCTGCCACATGTAGCCATGTTTTGAGCCTTCATAATGCCCTGCATCTGGTGGCCTGTGGAGATCGGAGCGTCTTCGAGTGAGCTTGGAGTCCACAGATGAGAGCCCAGAGACAGGTAGCTTATGTGGAGGCACTTGGCCCTGAGAAGGAGAGGAGTGTGTGGTGTGGGTCTGTGCTGCTGGAGCGAGACACAGTGGAGCCCTGGGCCCTGGGCGTGCCACCAGATGCAGTGCACGGTTTTCATGGGCGGCAGCATTCAAGGCGGTGCCGTCCCGCCTCCCTCCGCCAAGGCCTCTCCTCCCCTTGTCTCCTGTCTCGGAACTCCTGCTATTCATTCCTTCCTTTGGCCCACAGCTTCACCCTCTGTTCGTTCATCCTTAACTCCATCTCCTCCCCCCCCCCCCCCAGTGCCCCCGATTCCCCCTGAGAATGTTTGGAGTCGACTTCTTTCCGTATCACCTTAGTGCAAACCTCCACCATCTCTTTACTAGAATGTTCTGTCCTTAAATCTGAGAATTAAAATATTTAGTTCTTGGAAAGGCAGAGAGCAAGACGAAGTGTGCTGTTACCTGCTGGTTCACTTCCCAGATGGCCTCTGGGACTGGAGCTGGGCCCAGCTGCAGCCAGTATCCTGGAACTCCATCCAGGTCTCCCAGGTAGGTGCACTGGCCCAGACACTTGGCCGTCTTCCACTGCTTTCCCAGGTGTTCTAGCAGGGAGCTGGATTGGAAGTGGAGCAGCCGGGACTCCAGTTGGCGCTGGTATGGGATGCTGGAGTTGCAGCTGGTGGCTTTAGCCGCTGTACCCCAAATCTAAGATCTTGTGTGCTAGTGCCCTCACCTAGTATTCCCACAATTAATAGGATGATTTTTCAAAATGCAGGTCTTGATTGTATCACAAACCTGACTTGAGACTTCTTAGGCTTTAGGAATAAAAAATCTGTAACGGCTCATTACTTCCTCAAGTAATTTGGCTGTTTCTTGACTCTCCCATGTTGTGCCACTTCCTTGTAACATTCCGACTACCTGTGACCAGTGCCTGGCATTTACGGATTTGTTCTTCCAGTGGGCTCTCTGGCTTTTTGTTTTTGGAATGTTCTGAAATGATGGTTCAGCCCCCTTACTTGTTGCTGGCCTTTCTATTTCTTCTTGACTCAGTCTTGTAGGTTGCCTGTTTCTAGGAGTTCTCGGTGATCCAGTTGGTAATTGTTCATTGTAGTCCTTGGTGGTCTTCACTGTGTGCCATCAGCTGTAATGTGTCCTTGTCCATCGAGAAGATGCCTCCCGTCGAAGAAAATCCAGGCCGGATGGTTTCACTGCTGAATTGCTACCACACATTTTCCAAATATTGACCAGGAGGAATTCTGAACTCATTCACTGAGGCCAGCACTTCCCTGATTCCAAAAGCAGACAGAAAATCTTTAGAGCGATATCCCTGATGAAACTTGATGCAAAAATTCTCAAGAAACTACTAGAAAACTGAATCCAATAGCACATCAAAAAGATGGCACATCATGATAAAGTGGGATTTATCCCACAGGTGCAAGAACGGTTCAACATACACAACACATCAACAGAAGAACACAAACCGCCAGTCATCTCAAAATACTCAAACAGTGTTCAGTAAAACTCAGTATCTTGGGCTGCTGCGGCACAGCAGGTAGAGCTGCTGCCTGCGATGCTGGCATCCTGTGAGTCTTGGCCCCTCCTCTTCCCATCAGGCTTCTTGCTAAGGTGCCTGGGAAAGTAGCAGAAGACGGCCCAAGTGCTTGAGCCTCTGCCCCCATGTGGGTGAGCAGAAGGAGGTTCTTGGCTCTGAGCGTCCGACTGGCTGAAACATGGCTGTTGTGACCATCTGGGGAGTGAACCAGTGGTTGGAAGATAGCGCTCGCTCTTGCTCGTGCGCGCGCTCTCATTTTCCTCCCCCTCTCTAGCCCTGCCTTTCAAATGAATAAAACTCTTAAACTAAAACATCTCATCATAAAAACTCTGTCGGCCATCAGTTGGTTCAGTTCCAAAATGGCTACAACAGCCTGGGCTGGGCCAGGGTGGAGCCAGGAGCTTTATCCAGGTCTCCCATGCAGCTTGGTCCATCTTCTGCGGCTTTTTCCAGGCCATTAGCAGGGATCTGGACCAGAAGTGGGGCAACAGGCACCTGTATGGGATACTAGTATTGGATGCGCTGGCTTAACTCACTGTGCCGCAGTGCCAGCCCACGCTGTTATTGCTACTCTTAGGCTACACAGTACTGCAAGTCTAAGGCAGAGCAGAGAAATAAATGAAGGGAATTAAAACTGGGAAGGAGGAAGTCAAACTGTTTCCAGGCAATGTTATCCCGAATATAGAAAAACCCAGATTGCACCACAAACCTGTCAGCACTGTTAGGAGGGATTCAGCAAAGTTGCAGGATGCAAGATGAATACAAAAATGGCATTTCTATACCGATGGTGCATCCAAGAAAGCAATCCCATTTATAATAGCTGAAATGAAGTTGAAGCGCCGACGTGTAAGAAATGAACAGCGAAAACTGGGGAACACTGATGAGAGAATCTGAAGAGGACACAGCAAAAGTGGAAAGAGCCCTCGCGTTCATGCCCTGGGAGAATCGAGCTTGTTCAAATATCCATACTGCCTAAAGCAATCTGTAGGTAAAGTGCAGTCCACATTAGAACACCAAAAATCTTTCAGAAATGGGAGAAACTTTGCTAAGATTTACAGGGAACCACAAGTGACTCCGAATGGCTGAAGCACTCCTGAGCTAGCGGAGCACAGCTGGACGCATCCCGATACCTGGTGTGAGGCCACAGGAGCAGGTGCTGTGGCACAGCAGGTTAAGCCGCTGCTTTCGAATGCGTTTAGGAAAGCAGGGGAGGACGGACCGCGTGCTTGGGCCCCGGCACCCAGGTGTGGCACCCAGATGGAGTTCCTGGCTTCTGGTTTCTGCCTGGCCCAGCCCTGGTCTTTGTGGTCATTTGGGTACCGAACCAGCAGACAGAGGGTCATTCTGGCTCTCTTTGGCGCACTCTCACTCGAATAGATCTTTACTGGAAAAAAAAAATACAAAAAACCCAAGCATACTACAAAGATATAGTGACCAAGGCAGCATAATACTGGCTTAAAAACAGGCACATAGACCATTGGAAAAGAATAAACCCAGAAATAAATCCACATACTAAAAAAGGCATCAAGAACTATGTTGGAGAAATAACAGACTCTTTAGTAAACGGTGTTGTGAAAACTGGGGAACCACGCAAGATGAAGTTATGTCTTTATGTTCTCACAAAGGATTAGACTTCAATGTAAAAGCTGAAACTATACAACTCCTAGAAGAAGACATAGAGGAAAGCTCTATGACGTTCCGAACACGACCTCAAAAGCAAGATGGACGCTGGATTCCATCCAACTAAAGGCTCTGCGCAGCCGGCGAAATGAGGCTGGAGGGAGGACTCGCGGAGCCCGAGGAACGTCTCCAGCTGTGCAGCCGGGAGGGCTGGGTGTGCACAAACACCAGCAGCTCGGTGCAGTGCAAGGAAGCCTGGGCCGTCTGACTCGCTCGGTTGCCTGAGGCAGGCTAGCTTTCCAAAGGGGGTTCTGCTTGCTGCCTGAGCC